ACTGATTACTTTATAATAGTTACTGACTACTTCATAATAGTTACTGAATACTTTACAGTAGTTACTGAATACTATATAGTAGTTACTGAAGAATTTTGTACTAGTTACCAAACAATTTATAGCAGTTAGTGAATACTTAACAGCAGTTACTGGAGAATTTACCATGGTTACCAAGTACTTTACAGTGGTTACTGAATACTTTATTATAGTTACTTAAATACTTTATAGTAGTTACTAATTTAATAGTAGTTAGCAAATAATCCATTGTAGTTACTGAATAATTCATAGTAGTTACTGAATACTTTATTGTGGTGACAAAATACTTACTAAATACTTCATTACAGTTACTGAATACTTTATAGTAGTCACTGAATACTTTATAACACTTACTGAATAAGTCTTAAGGTTAAGATATGAATAACAGCCCTGCAGTCGACGAAGTAAACAGTGACTACATCAACACTTTCCGTCTCAGAAGATGTTACTTAGGATCCCCAGTTATTGAGAAACTTGTCAGACACAAATTTATGAGAAGTGTTTCTCCTCTGCACATAACAGAAGACATATCATTCTCTGCACACAGCATTGCGTGTTTCTGAAAACACAGTGAAAACATGTTTTTTTCAGCATCACTGCATCTTGTAATTATTCAGGGAAACATCCTAAAGATTTTTTTTTTTTTCAAAATTTCTGAATAATTCAGTCCATGAGATGTAAACAGTTTCATTCAGAGTGGTTTGATGTGAAATGGTTCACTGTGAAGAAACTAGATTTCTTTACAGTGGTGGTGATAGGAACCAGGGGTCACCATGTCTACAACACAAATATAGCCATTTTATTTACTATCCAAAACCACCAGTGAACCTACACGTCTTCTGAGCTTTTATATGTACTGTTGATGATAGTAAAATAGTAGACAATCTGAAAAAATACGTTTTCTTTGGAGACTTTTCTGCCTTACGACACCCTGCATGTATCCCTCCACCAAAATAAACGGATTAAAATACATTTAAAGCTGAAACTTCAGCACAAAACTATCATAAAACAATCTGTCAGACATCAGGCAGCACAACTTTTATGTAGTAACTTTCTGTGAGGGAGCTTTTAGAGGATTCCTGTCCTCTAAAAGGGTTTCTATCCTCATCTCACACCAAACCACTCTGAATAACTTTGTTTACGTCTCAATCTCTGAATAAAACAGACATTTAAAACAGACACCTCCCCTGTAAATGCGGCTTTAGTGGCCAACCATCAGAAAACAAAGGTAGAAGTTGCAGTTAGCTAGAGCTGCTAGCCTATTTAACCGAGGCCGTTACGTTAGCTAGAACACTAACATTGGTTCCTACACCCAAGTAGTGCACTGTATGTCCGAGGGGGATTCATAGGAGTTGTGGAGAGCCAACCTCAAAAAACAACCCAAATCTGTGAGCTGTCTAATCCACGTTTACTGTGTAAAACCTTTGCGGATGATACTCTGTCCAGGGTAAACATACGAGGCTGAAATCGACTTCCTACTCGCCAGCTTCTTGTTCGAATTTCCCGTTCCACCTTAAATGGCAAATGCTGCCGCAGTTATTACTATAACGCCTGTGGCACGACACTGTAACTGCTGCACCATTTAAGGTGGAACGGGAGAATTCGAATAAGCAGCTGACTTCAGCTGGGTGGTAAACGTTACCTCTCCCATTCGGACGCGGTGGTGAAGTCCGTAATCTCAAACACCTCCGACTCGGGCTACAAACAACAACAGATAAGACGGTTAGAGTGTCACAGGCCACCACAACGTGTAAAGCCTTGTTTTGTTTCTTTATATTTGTACTGGTTAAGTCAGACTCACATCACTGTCGGCCGCCATCACGCTCTCTGTTTATTTTTTCCTTTCCGCAACGCATGCTGGGAAATGTGGTCCGTAGAGGTAGAGGCCTGCACCATCACGCAGCCTTTTTCTTTTACAGGAGCATTACACAGTTTTTGTTTTTAATTTTCTGCCTTATTCATATAGTTGAGATGTACATAGTAAGCATGTAGACATGTACATGTCTCTACAATATTAATGGATGGAATGTGTTTATTGAGCCATTCAGATATGGAAAAATTTGACACATCATAATATTTTGATATGCCGCAGTATATCTTATGACTGTCATACCACCCAACTCCAGTCAAGTAGCCCTCACTAAGAAAAGGAAATAGACAAAAAAGAAGAAAATTTGCACTAAAACTGTACAACTCAGATGTGGAGTAAGGACTTATCGACTAATGAGTCTAAATTTGTGTTTGGGACCAACTTCTAAGACTGAACTTTGGAGGTGTGGTTGTAGACTTCTTTGAAAAACTGAAAGTGAGTCTTCTGAACAGAATGAAAGCTGTAATAAAGGTAAAGATTGGACACACTACATACTGAAGATATGATGCTATACTTAGTTGTTGAGGCTTCTGTGTAATTTCTCATTAAATAACTTGTACTTAATAGCTGCTTTGACTGGAAATTAAATGAAACACTGGACTCTTCTGCACCGTAGATGTCTGACCAGCTACATTTAGGGTAAGGAGAAAATCTGTACACTTTATTTCTTGCTTGAACATGTATGCCTCTGGGGTTTATATGTATGACACACATCCACGTCGGGGACAAGCCATCAACAGGTGAAATAAAAACGGAAAGAGGAGGGAGGTGAGGGTGATAAACGAGAGAGCTGAGGGATGTAAACAGACGAGGGCATAAAACAAGGACAGAGCTCTGTGGAATACAAAATGATGTCCGCTCAGCGTCCAGGCCGTCAATCTTCCAGACCTGATCTACTTCAGGACAAACACAAACAGTGCTGGTCTATTCTGCGGTGCAGCTGTGATCATAGCATGTTTGCATTTGGTCAGTTGTGCTGTAGAAGCCAAGCACAGCAATGCATTTAAAGCAGTTTTCTACAATAATTCTGCCACTCTCAGTGTTCTCCTCTCACAGTGATCTCAGCATCCAGGCCTGAGAAATACTTCATTTCTGTTATTACATTCATGACTGTAAAACACAAAAACTGAAATACTGTTACAACTGTTACAAAAATACTATCAATTAAATATGTTCATACATATGAACAATTAATGGGGAATTCCACTGATTTGATCAAAATTTCTGCTAAATACTGTGCTTCAGACGTAAACAGTCATTCAGAGTGGTTTGATGTGAAATGGGTTATTGCAGACTCAGATTTCTTTACAGTGGTGGTGATAGGAACCAGGGGTCACCATGTAAATATAGCCTTTGTATTTACTATCCAAAACCGCCAGTGAACCAACACGTGTCTTCTGAGTTTTTTTATGGATGCTGATAATGATAAAGTAGTGATAAATCTCCAAAAATAACGACTTTTTCGGGACTATGTTGCCTCACAACACCCTCAACACCATGAATGGATTTTAAGAAAACATGTTTTAGACTAATATTTTATGTGAAAACTATTGTAAAACAGTGTCTCAGACATCAGGCAGTACATTCATAACCATTTCATGGAATAACCTTCTGTGAGGGAGCTTTTAGAGGCGGACGTCTGGTTCCTTCACTGTTCCATGCACCCTAGAAGATGTTGGGTTCCTGTCAGTGTTCGAGATTTTGGGGGGTCTCCCTGTCTACCACTACCCCCTTGTTAAGGGGCTTGACCTACTTTTTGTGGCTGCTTTGGGGCAATGTTTATTCTAAAAAATAACACAATTAATATACATGAATTGAACTCATATTTTTAATGATTTAATTACTAATTATTCTACACTTTAATAACATAGTGAACTTTTTATATGTATATTTAATGCAGACTAAAGTTTGTCATGATGTTAACGTACATTATTGTAATCAGGTCAGATGTTGGATGCTTCAGCACCAGCACCAGCCCATCTCTCCAGTGAAGTCTTCAACCTGTAATTGTTAGTTTTTCACATTGTTGCTTTGTAATTACAGCTTTGAAAGTACATGATTAAGCTTCTTGATATTGTTTCAACTGCAGTCTGAAACAATTAATCAAACAGTTAATGTCTTCTAAGGTGCTCTTACGTTCATCATGAATCAATTTCCTCCTTAGAAGAATTCAGCATTTCCGCATTATTATTGTAAGTAACACAGGCTGCCAGCCAACATAGCCTGGCATGTGTATCCAAAAGGCAGTGAAGGGTTCTCAGGATCAGTCTTCAAATCCTCCACAAGGACAAAGTAACATTCACATTTTCAGAGTGGATTGTAATACCAAAGAGGATTGAAGCTCAGGTTAAGTAAACCAGGCATGCCTTTGGAATGTGGGTTTGAGGAGGTATTTGAATATTAGACACGGACAACAACATCCTAAAAAAAGTATTTGTGAGTATAAAACACAAACACACACACACACACACACACACACACACACACACACACACACACACACACACACACACACTTATGTTTCTCTTTTCCTACATTTCTGGCAGCTGTATGTCAAAAAATTTGATTTACTACGTCTCAACATTTATTAGCATTTCAACTTCGACCTCAAAGCAATTACATATATTCTCAAAAAGTATTTGAAAAAAGATTTATATTTTCAAAAATTTGATTTAGTGTCTCAGAATAATGTTGTTATCCCAAAGTAAACATTTGTTTGAAATATATGTTATAGTATGTTGAAAGTTCATTTTCATAACTCAAATCTCAAGAAAATAAGACGCATTTTTTGACAAGTTATCATTTTGAGAAAACCTTTTTTTTTCAAGATACTGTGTGAATTTCTTATTTTGAGATACCAAGTCGAATTGTTGAGTAAATAAGTCAATATTTTGATATTCTAAGTTTTTTATTTACTCTTGCCATGACATAGAACATTTTTCCCCTCTACGTGAGGTTAAAATCCCATTAAGAAAATAATAAAATAAATTAATACATTTAAAACATTTGAAAAAAACAATCCGATTCAAATAAATATCTTTTTCAACGTCATTCTCCGTGACGACTACAAGTCCCACTATGCCTTGCTCCCCGCTGTTACGCCACTTCCGTGATGATTCTGAAGGTTCTCACTGCCCTGACAGCATCGATGCGATTAAAGAACTGACACGCAGAAAAGTGTTGGAAACAGATAAAACAGAGATCATGCGCTGGTTCGAGGGCTCAGTTCCAGCAGCCATCGCCGCCTCCAAACAGCTGAACTCTGTTTTCGTCGTCGTCATTACAGGTAAAGGACAATAAATGATCCGTAAAGCGAGCTAACAGTTAGCGTTAAAGGCCTGTTTTGCAAATAAACCGAGTCAGAGAGGAAACCCCGTTACACAACAGCCAGCTTTCAGCCGCGATTTGCTCTCAAAAGTTAATTCAAAATGTTGACTTGGATTTATTTCACTGTTTAAGTTGTTCAAAAACGCGATGAATTGGACGAGGCTGAAGATTCATCAGCTTCTTTTTTGAATTTTCCCGTTCCACCTTAAATGGTGCAGTAGATACATTCTGGCGCCTGAGGCAGCTATCAGCTAGCTACAGAGTGACAGCTGTGCTGTTTAGTGTCATTCGTGAAATACCTTAAATGGTGCAACCTGAGGCGCTTGAATGTAACTGCTACATCATTTAAGGTGGAACGGGAAAATTCGATCAAGAAGCTGGCGAATTTGTACGTAGTTGGCTAACAGTAGCGCTAGCGCTCAGTTAGCTAATCTGCTTAGCCAGGTGTACTTCTGTAATGGTAACGTTAACTGGCAGGTTAAAGTGATGAAAGTGGTTAAGATGTAATTCACTCTCTAAATAGCTCCCATTTCCAGCAATGACAGCAGTACATAGGTCATTCCGTAGCGAGTTAGCTAGATACCAGTGTCAGGAATGACATGGAACAGCAAAGGCTGTCATTCTGTAACTAGTTTCGGTTTTCAGGAATGTCTCTAAAAAACACAGCTGTCATTCTGTAGCTAGCTGCCAACTTCAGGAATGACTCCAAACAGCACAGCAGTAATTCTGTAGCTAGCTGCCAGTTTCAGGAATGACTCTAGAAAGCACATCGGTCACTCTGTAACTAGCTGCCAGTTTCAGGAATGACTCTAGAAAGCATAGCTGTCATTCTGTTGCTAGCTGCCAATTTCAGGAATGACTCCAGAAAGCATAGCTGTCATTCTGTTGCTAGCTGCCAATTTCAGGAATGACTCCAGAAAGCACAGCTGTCATTCTGTAGCTAGCTACCAATTTCAGGAATGACACCAAAATGCACAGCTGTCATTCTGTAGCTAGCTGCCAGTTTCAGGAATGACTCTAGAAAGCACAACTGTCACTCTGTAACTAGCTGCCAGTTTCAGGAATGACTCTAGAAAGCACAGCTATCACTCTGTAGCTAGCTGACGGTTTCAGGATTGACTCTAGAAAGCACAGCTGTCACTCTGTAACTAGCTGCCAGTTTCAGGAATGACTCTAGAAAGCACAGCTGTCACTCTGTAGCTAGCTGCCAGTTTCAGGATGACTCTAGAAAGCACAGCTGTCACTCTGTAACTAGCTGCCAGTTTCAGGAATGATTCTAGAAAACACAGCTGTCATTCTGTAGCTAGCTGACGGTTTCAGGAATGGCTCCAGAAAGCACAGCTGTCATTTTGTAGCTAGCTGCCAGTTTCAGGAGCAACTCCAAACAGCACATCTGTCATTCTGTAGCTAGCTTGCAATTACAGGAATGACTCCAAACAGCACAACTGTCATTCTGTTGCTAGCTGCCAATTTCTGGAATGACAAGCAACAGCCATATGTAACACTTCCATCTCCTAATATTTTTTTAGAAAATGTTAGGAAAATGCTTGCTGTCACCTAGACTAGCTATGTATAAACATGCTAAGTCATTGTTATTTTCACAAGTTGACCAGCTGTTCAAAACAGTCTGTCCATGATCAGCAGATGATATATTTCCTGAAAACAGCAATAGAATAGCTGTCTGTAGAATGACATCTAAACAAGTCACATCACACTTTCGTTAATATGTCAGGTCAGCTTTTAAAGCCATCCAACTGTTCAAGTCTTTGTAGCTGACCATGTTAGCATATGAAGATATACCATGTGATTATACAGCTGCTGTGCGTTTTTGGAAATGGTAGCTAGTTACAGAATGACACCTGAACTAGATTCACTATATGTCCAAAGGTGTCCAGACAGCTCTTCTATTTAGTGAATTAATGCACTTTAAGGTGCATCTTTTGTATAAGTTCTATAGAAGAGTATTGCCAGTAGAACGGAGGTCACCATGCTCAATGCCAAGTGTCAGCTAGAGGGGCATAAACCTCTCTAGCATTGGGCTGTGGAGCAGTGGAACTGCATTCTCTGGAACAGTGGCGCTCCATCCAATACCTTTGGGATCCAGAACAAATCATCCAACATCAGTACCTGACCTCACTAATGCTCCTGAGTCTGAATGCAATCAAATTCTCACAGCAGTGTTCCAACATCTAGCGTGAAGCCTTCCCGGAAGAGTAGAGATCGTTATTGGTTGTGTTAATACCCGGCATTTCAGAAGAAATGTTCGAAGAGCAGGTGTCAACACTTTTGGACATACAGTTCTCCTCATATGTCACTGACTTCGCAAGTTGTAATTTGATGTTTAGCTAGAAAATGATTAGAACAACTGACCGTCTTGCGAAATCTGCGATGACCTGACCAGGGTATGACCTAATGTTTATCTCCAGGACGTTGGCAGTTTCTTGGCAATGGTTGTTAACAAGTACTGTCTCTTTACTCACTCTAGGAGACGATGAGCAGTCCAAACAGATGCTGTCCAGTTGGGAGGATGACCGCATAGCAGAGCTCACGAACAATTGCTGTGTTGCAATTAAAGTAGATGCTAAAAGGTGGGTAACTGGGCACACACAACCTGCCTGTGAACATAACAGCATTGGCTTATTCTATATTAAATGAAATCTGTTTTTGTTTTGCAGTGAGACGTGCGTCCAGTTTTCACAGATATGTATCCTTTGTGACGCTCTCTTTGATGAGTGGCTTCTGGTATTTTCTATGTATTTTTATCAGTTGATATACTTTGCTTAAAAAGGATAAAATGGAAAACCTAATAGTTGTACAGTTGTAAACATGCGAGTGTGATTTTCTCGATTAAAGACTAGGAAAACCCTCTTCTGATTATATATATTGAAGTTTTTTTTAAAAGGCTATACCTGCTTTGGATGGATTTTTGAGGGCATATTTAAAATATTTACCTATTTGTTATGTTGTGAGGGGGCAAGTGAATATAGCTATAATTGCTGCTATAAAGCCATATATCTTATTGCAGCTGTATAACTGTAGTAGCTGTCTTCAAATCATCATTAAGATGGATAGAACGGATTACTCAAACAACAAAAATCACTTGTCATATGAGGAGGATAACAAGCTAAAAGCTAAAGTTAACAAGTCAGCTGACACATTGATTCATTACCTCAGTTTGGTTTCTTTTCTCAGACTAAAAGGGGGAAAAAAACGTCAACCTGTTCAACAGCCAATGTAAATGTAGCCTTAATGCTAACTTCAGTGTCAGAATTTGACACCACAAGGATTCCTAATGGTTGTATGATGTGTTTGCTTGCATTCTGGGTATTGTAGTCAGAGAACACTGATGAATTAAAAAAAAACATGAAAGTGATGGTGATTTCTTTCAAACTTTGAGGCTAAAACATATGATGCTGCGCTACTGGATGCTGCATAACACAACAAATAGCATATTAAACTCTAGTTTTAGGCCGAAATGCCTGTTTAAAAAAGGAGGGCTATGCTGTCTATAGTATTCCAAGTTTGGTGCAGTTTTGCTGTTTATTCAAAGTGGTGGATTTTTAATTTTTTTGGCAGAGCTTTAATGAACCTGATACATAGTTACCAAATGTTCCCTCTTTCTTCGCAGTAATTGTCAGTAACATTGTCTAACAGCACCATTCTCAGTTGGCATGCCTGCAGGTGTTAAATGTCTGAGTAAGTGAAAGAGAAAGCTAAAGTAATGTACTTGTGCTTGTAAACATGTTTATTGTTCCCTTAATGTTGGTTCCGTGTAGATCCGGTGGTGTGCATTCCATCCAGTTTTTTCATAGGTGAGAATGGCATTCCCCTGGAGGTCATCGCTGGCGGCGTCTCTGCAGAGGAGCTTACAAAGAGGATAAACAAGGTCAAACAGGTAAAGCAGAGGCTGCTGCCAGAGCAGAGAAAGACTATTAACAACAGATGTCTTTCAGCCTTAGAACTGGATATGTGATCAAGTTGAGAGCAACCTTGAAACACTTTGCCTTGATTTTGTTTGTTGGTTCCACAGGAGCCCTGAAGTGACTAATGCTCACAGATTCGCTATTTTTAGTACATTGATTTTGAGGCAGATATGACAGCTAGCATAACAAGCTCACCATAACTGGTGTAATGACGTTACATGAATTCATATTGCATATTGATTTAGGATTTTCTAACTTGAGATAAGATGCAGTAAGACAGTATTTGTTTTTGTAATATGTATTTATGAAACATATTATCCTGGCCTTGTCAGACTTTAACTTAGGACAGGAAGTTTCTGTCATACGGCCACAGGTTAATTATCTCACACTGTATGTTCGTATGGACTTATATTTGTATCATGCAAATATCTTCTGCTATTATTGATCTTCTCAGCATTGATATCAGAGTGATTCAAATGTGCCTATACTGCGTTTACATGTTGCTTTTGGGGAGAAAATAACATTTCGTACATCATAGTGGTACACTGCTGTTGGTGGCATGCAGCCATGGAACCAATGGTGACAGCATTACTGGCAAAAAATGGATGATTATCAGAGGACGGCTTAAGCAGAGTCAATTGTGTATTTAACGTGGAAAAAGTCAGGAGAAAGAAAGTACTGTTTTAATTTCTGTTGTATAACACTGTTTGGCCAAAATTCACTTCCTATTATGTTCGCAAGACACCCAAAATGTTTTCAATGTTGAAAACTTGCTACAACAGCCCAATTATTTTGACCAAAATAACTTATGTTTATTAGATTACATGAATATCAGTCCCTTTTTCTTGTGCTGTGTAGATGCACTCTCAGCAGATGGGCAGTGGGGCCCAGGCCAATGCAGAGAGAGACATGCAAACAGAGGGTTCCTGTGCAGCCCCGGATGCAGCTCCCTCTGCTTCTGAAAGCCATTCTGTAAACAGCCCAGCCATCGCAACAGAGAATACCTCCACTGTTGCTACATCTAAAGGTGAGAGATACTCTCCAGCCATAATAACTGGACATTTCATAACTGGATAAAATTTTACTTGAATGTAGAGGTGGGTAGTATAACAATATTTTATCATTATCTTAATACATTATGTCAAAATATGCTTTTCTGTGCATATCATGGATATCGTCATGATACGGGCACTTGCTTTATACTGCACAGATTTGTTAAACATTGATACAAACAGAATAACATGTAGACTAGAGGTTTTTTTTTTGTATATGAAATGGCAAATTTCCATAGTTCTGAAAACTTTATTATATATATAAAATTGTATATATATACATTTTTTGTATGTTTAACAATTTAGGTACCCAGAACTGTGGAGTGAACATTTGTTGAAGTCATGCAAATTTTCTTACTTTGCATGTTTCGGGTCATGGTTTCAGTTTGTCCAAGGCGGTGATGTGTGTCTTCCCACCAAGTTTTATGTTGCTTATGAAATCTTTGCATGCTTTTGGTTGAAGATCTACCAAATCACCCTGATTACTTTTGTGTGACTAATAATTTTTTTTGTTGTTCTCCTAGAATCTCTGTCCATGCCTGTGGATGAAGGAGGGGCTTCAGGTCATGCGACTCCAGGTGAGGATAGAAGCCTGTCATCAGATGACACATCACAGGCCTCTCAAGCAGAGGAACCCTTGGACGCCAAGGTTGAGAGGTAAATGTTTGTTTAGATATAGCTGTTTGTACTTACTGTTAGATTCTATGTTTTTGGACTTATTCAGACTTTTAAATACTTCTTAGAGTATTTTATTTAGATATTTGGTCTCATCAACCGTATGGAAATCTGCCATTTGTCCATACATCACAACTCCTTGTCTGCACTTTTGGTTTTCAAGACCAGTGGTTTTCAACCTGTGGGCCTTGGCCCCCCAGTGGGCCTCAGTGGAATTGCTATGGGGCTGTTGGTTGTCAGTTTTTGTTAATTTTTTAAAATTCTTTACAATATCTAGTCATTTTAAATATGACAGATATTATTGTTGTCACAATTATTTCTCATGTTTGGCATTTCAGTGTAATTTAGTTGCCTCAGACTATCTTGGAATTCACCACCACCATCACGTTATCCAAAATAATTACCTAGTACTTTGAAGGTTCTCACAGGTACCTGAGGTACCTAGAACTGAAAAATACTGTCAAAGAAAGCATAACTATTAAAGTGAAGTCATTATCGATAAGGTTTGTTTTTTGTGTTTTCTTCATAGGTTAACAAAGAAACTGGAGGAGAGACGGGAACAGAAAAAGAAGGGTGAAGAAGAGGTAAGGTTTAGGATTAGGATTAGTTAACCTAAAACTGTATTTGCCAGGATATTTACTGATTGTCCTTCCATGAGATTTTGCATTGATGATCATTAATTTTGGTGTACAGAACGAGATAAAGAAGGAGATTGAGCGGCGAAAGCTGGGGAAGGAGATGTTGGACTTCAAACGGAAGCAGGAGGAGGAGAAGACCAAGCGCATACTGGAAGAGCGGAACAGGGAAAAGGCTGAGGAGAAAGCAGCCAGGGAGAGGGTCAAGCAGCAGATTGCTCAGGTGAGCCATCTCAACCTTTACACTTCATCTTACACTTCGTTTTCACACTTGTCTTGAATACTTGAGTCCGCACCTAGGACCAATTCTGGGCTCGTTTGGGGAGGGGCTCATTATCAGTGCTTTGCTTTCACACACAAGAATTCCATCTGAACTGTGAATCGATGGCACAATTCCATTTGTCACATTTCTGCATGTAGGTTTGCAAAATGGTAGACACCAGCCTCATCCGTTTCCTTGGATGCAAACACTCAAGCAGCAAAGAACAACAGTTCACAACAGTTTTTTCCCCACCAGCACAAAACTTCAAAAGGATGTATTGCGATAAGTTGAAGCACGGGAGTGGATAGCTTGCAAATGCAGTAGACTGCATGGGAGTTCACTGAAAGCTAACGCCAGACCACCGATTTCAGGAAAACCAAAGATGGGTTCTTTGGACCGCTGCCAGGCTTAAAAACAGCTTTCACACTTAACCAAACGTATCAAACTCGCAAAGCAAGCGATCCTGGGTTTGGAACAAGGCTCTAGTGTGAAAACACTTTTGAAGAGCCCATAACAAGGAAGGCATTTTTTGCTGTTTTCATATAAACAAGCTTATTAATGCATTAAACAGTGTTGCATATGGTCCACTCGCCTGTCGGTGTGGTCCATATATGGAAACAAACCTGCAAAAAAGTTGTCACAACCATGAATGCATATAAGTGCCTACAGCAGTTCAGCCCACCTGTTAAATTCTGAAGCATCAAGAGAAGAGAAGTTGGAAAATGATAAAGATGCATTATAACTGTTTTTTGGCTCAGAAAACCACAAAACATGTATAAAAAAAACAAGAATTTTATCTAAATTTATGATATTGCATTGTAATGCATACTAATCTGCAGAATTATTATTTTATATTATTATTATAGTAGTATTATAATAGCTATTGTGTCCACAGTACACATTTACAGGCCACAGGGCCTGTCACCATTATTACATAATTGGCTGATTGCGGTTATTTAAGCTGGCAGCAATTATAGCTGTTAGCATTCACAACCATATGTTGCAGATGCATGTAGATAAAGACAAAAGCAGTTGTATGTATCAGCATCTATGAAACATAGCAGCTAATTAACCAGTTGGACCATTTTATGCATATACTTTAATAGTCACATACAAAATAAAGCAAACTGTTAATCACAATCATTTATATGGCTATTAATCATCAGCTAAAATGTCATGATTGTGACAGACCCACTACTAAGTAGTCTATGGATTACCTGTTGCTACTCCTGGATACAACCTCTAGTTTTCTTATTAAATAAGACTTATTAATACATTATCTGTAGTTACTAAATGAACATATCTTGCTCAACTGAACCTAGACTGAGTGTGTGATGCTGTTTTTTGTCCCACAGGACCGTGCAGACCGGGCAGCTCGCTATGCTAAGAACAAGGAGGAGGCTGAGGCAGCCAGAATAGCAGCATTACAAGCCAGACAGGCAGAGCAGGAGATGAAGAAAGAGGCCACAGAGAGAGAGAGAAGGTTCTCTATTTTAAATCTCATGCGATCTTTGCATTGTATTTGTGGCATCTGTATTTGTGTATATTTGATATTTAGCTTCTCACCTTTTACATTTCAGGTGTTCTGCTGGGTGAAAGAGGTCATATCCTACATTCTTGTATTCTATATTTTTCCAGAATTACTTTTTTCCAGCTCCATGACATTTGTGTATCAATTTTACATGATTGTTTTCTAGTCACTCTTAATGTGATGGATGATTTTTCTTACTTTGCCTTTAAGATTGAATGCTGTAAGCTGAATAGCTGAGACATGTCAGTCTGTTGTTTTTTTCTGACATCAGAGAAACAAAGATTTTAAAACAGGCTTTGAAACCTAGTTTCCATATATAGACAGAGGAGAGAATGGCAGGCTTTGCCTACATCAAACTACAACCAACTAAACTATTACCAAAATGCGAGGAAAATTCAGTTTCCTTTATATGAGCTCTTTTAATTGGAAATTCAGTTTAAAGATAAATTTTTTTAACCTTGATCTCTTTGATTGGGGTTTCTTGCAGAAATAAAGGTTGATCAAAGGTCGAAGTGACTTGTGCTCAGTAATGCAGTTTCTATAACTTATGTGTGAATTTTTTTTCAAGTGTTGTGTGTACCTCCCAGCATTTATCAATAATTCAAGATATTTTGTCTGTTTGAGCTGTTTTGTGAATCATTTAAATAGTTTCTAGATGGAGTTTAAAATCAAGCCAGAATAGACTGTAATAATTTAGTGGAAAGCGCAATATTAAATAATGATTTTTCAAAATTGCAAGAGTGTGTCACAATTACATTAATTTGTAGTGTTACATTTGCCCTGAAAATGCCATTTGAAAAGAGTACTTTTGATTGTCTGTGCTGTTTTGATGTTTTGTTTGTATGTATGTGACCATTCATTTGTTTTCTATTCTTTTATTCTTTTATTCTAATACAATTAGGCCTCATGTGTCTGCAGGCGTGCACATATCTGTAATGACCACTTTGTCATTGCTGATGCATCTGTTGTTTGCAGCATGATTGTGACTTATTCGTTCACACGCTGTTTTTTTTCATTCTTTCCAGTGCTGTCGCCAGAATACAGTTCCGCCTGCCCGATGGTTCCTCCTTGACCAATCAGTTCCCCTCAGAGACACGGCTGCAGGAGGCCAGGCAGTTTGCTGCTCAGGTGAGTTTCCACACAGGTGATTCTGCATGCTTTCCAATGGTGAATGGTTCATGGAAACACGATCATTCTGAGCCCTTAGACTTGGCACTGCTTATCACTGGCTTATCATGAACTGAACTGTGTACTCCCAGCTGTTCAATAACAGGCCACCACCCTCAAAGCTTTTAGAAAGACCTGCCAATTGAAAGTGTTATTAGTCTCTTCTAAGCCTGGTAATTGATTATTTTTGTATTCATTTTGATGTTTGGCATGGTAATGGTCTAGCTTTGCCATTGGCACACATTAATACAGGGAATGGTGTAAAATGGCATAAACTATAAACAAGTTTGGGTGACCACCAGCTGATTTCACCAAACAGATGTATCTGGTAACTGTCTGGGCTGGGCCTGTACTATAATGAGCATGTTTGATTGACATATCTTTGTCCAAGACTCCACATCTACAAAACTACCAGACAGAAGTTCTAACATCTCATACGTGTACATGGGTGATGACAGAATTATCATCCTCATCTTTCTTTTACTAGGCTATGTAGCTTTGATAAAATGTACATTATGCAGACAGGTATGTGGCAGAGATACAGAACATCAGCGTTGTGATTTGTGAGGGACAAGCTTTAGCAACCTTTACCCAAGATTGCCGCTGCCAATTTTATGTTGAAAGAGAGAAAGTCTGGCCAAGTACATAGAAACATAGGAAGTTACCAATTATTTATATGTTTATAGTGCATACTGTGTACCGACAAGACCAACATCGATCTAATTAGTAAGCAATCATGGATTCAGGTTCCCTTTAAGAAATTGTAGTCCAGACTGCTTACTCATTATCTCATATTTACCCTTGGCTTATTGCACAAACTGCAGTACGGAGGCCTGCACAGTCTTGCACAACAGCAGGCAAGGCTCCCAAACAAAAATAAACATTCCTGTCCTACAGCCAGCATGACTGAGTTTGCACTAAGGGAGGCCTGGAAATTTTGCCAAAGAAGATCTAAAAGCATCAAATAAAACTAGAGATCAGTGTGGTGGTGACCTGAGATTATTATTTTGCTTTTTGATTTCTTTTTCATATAAGCTCCATCTTCCTGGTTAGTTTCCTTAGTTAATAGCACATCTTCTGATCACTCTGCAAAATAATGTCTTCTCTACACAGGAGGTGGGCAACAGGTATGGCCACTTCTCTCTGGCTACCATGTTCCCCAGGCGAGAGTTTACAGCAGAAGATCTGGGGAAGACTCTTCTGGAGCTGGAGCTAGCCCCAAGCGCCTCCATCGTCCTGCTGCCGGTAAGCCAGTCACTCCAAAGCTGCTGGTTCATTTTTGTTGATTCACTAAAGATGTAGTTTGTGTAACAATTTATGACCTTTATGCTGAGTTGGCAGTTTATTAGCCTAGTAGTGACTAGTAGTCACTTGCCATTTTAACTGGTACCATTTAGAGGCACTTTGTAGTTGTTCCTTATGGGGTTGCATGACTTTCAAGAACAGCTGGTATTCAACTAGATGACTAGTCATCTTTTAGCATTTTTCAGGGTGATCTGCATAGCAGAATCATTTTTAGACCTCCTAATGTAGCCTATATTGTTTACTAAAATGACCAAGAATATGGAAATCGTGCCTCTTGTCTATCCTGGTTCCGTACATTAGTTTTTATCAGTCTCTGATGGGAAATCAACTTTTGTTTATGAAGCTACATTCTAGCTAATCACCAGTAGGAAGCAGTTGCAGCTCTGTATTTCAGGAAAACACTGAGCATTTCATAGAATGATGTAGTTGCCGAATTTTAAAAAAGCTCAGAATGCCCACTCTAATGAAGTACTGTGGACTTTGTGTTTCTGAACTCTTCTCGTGCACTTTTTTTCCTTTTTAACTATTTCACTAAATTAAGGTACTTTCTTGATAGCTGCCCATAGCGCAAACTAGTGGATATATTAGTTGTCTAGTCTCAACAGCGTCAGGCCGTAAATCTCATTTGTCAGTCCACCTCTTCTCTGAGACCTATCTCATCCCAGAGTCCAGGAAATGATGTCACATTGAAGTCACATGATTAAAAATGAAATTCAGCATGGCGGACTGCACAATGTTAGAAACTATACTGCAAGCAAAAATAGTTGTAAAGTAAATAAACTAAATATTTTTGCAAAACAACTTTCTTTCTCGTATTTTTGATTCCATTCTGTAGTATATTTAGACGTACACCAAACTTAAGTCACAAATATATATTCATGGAATTTTAATATCAGTATGGTTGATTAGCGAACTGGCTGCCCAGCTAATATTACCGAGGCCATTCTCAGAACCTCCATCAGGCTTGACTGGGGTTCAGACAATGTTTATGTTTTTTATAAAACATTTAGTGACTAAGAAAACCAGCTAGCTGTTTTGATCGCTAGCAACTTACATTTTATCAGTCGTATACTTTTAAGGCATCTGTTTGTCAACAAAATCATGTGTTTGTTTACTTACTGTATTTACGAATAACATGCTGGTTTAAGTGTTTTAATAACAACACTATAAAATCGCTCCTTTTAAAAACGAATTACACAATAAAGAACAGGGTAAAATATAATTAAAGCAAGCATTTAGTTTTTTATACAAAAAAATGCAGAATGAAATATCTTGGGCTCTATTTGCCCACGCCAGGACACTAGATGGCAATAATAAGCGTCACCTCCTCTCTGGGGCCTCAGATAGGTACCACAGGAGAGGTAAGCCTCAGGAATGAGATCTGCATACAGACCCTTCTCTCTAGTCTATGCAAAGCACTACTTATTGACTAGCTCATCTGAGGCTATGTACATATTGTTAGCCACCCTCTACCCTGTCCATTAGTGGGAAGACATCAACATAAGACCACGGCTAATGAGAGGTTTTTTTTTTGTTTGTTTTTTGTTTTTTTTTTCAGAATTTATTAGAGGATCCCTTTATCTGATGCAGTGGGTTTAAACATATGATGTTCATAAAGTAAATCTCTAAGAGAAGATATCTTAACAATCTTGTCCTCGTTGTCCCTATAGCAATCAGGCAGGCCGACTAACACCGTAGTCCAGTCTTCTGGCGGGGGTGGAATCTGGGCACTGCTGGGGACCATCTTGTACCCCCTGCTGGCTGTGTGGAGGTTCCTCAGTGGGTTCTTCTTCAGCAGCCCTCCACCTGGGGCAGCAGCGGCAGCAGCAGCAGCCTCCCGCACTCAGCAACGCTCATCAAACTCCTACAACTCAGCATCCACTGGAGAACCAAAGAGGTGGGTTGCAGACATGTCGAATTATAATCTGTGTTGACTTGCCAACCTTCACACATTTTGCATAGGAGCTGTATATTGAGGTATGAGTTAGCGAGTTATCATTCAAAATATGCCAGAAAAGCATTCTTAGCCAATTGAGACATGATTATCAAATTAGGTCACTGAACAATAATTTAAGCTGGTTCTTAAATACCTGAACACTGTCTCTACATGAGTCTTTCCATCAGGTTTGATAGGTCTGTATTTGAAGTCCTCAATACGGATGGACTTGCTTTAGGAATGGCTACAAAGAACCGTTGTATGCAAGTGTTTGGTAGCTATGGTCAACAAAAAGAATAACAAATATAAAATGAATTATGCATAAATAAAGCAAAAGGGGCTTATGTATGATGTACTGTGCTGAGGTCAGGACAGCAGACTGAAACTTGTTTTGACCATGCTTAATCTTTTCTGTATTGCTGCATTAAAGCTCAGTATGATTAGCCTGTACCCCTTCATTGCAAATTAGTAGAGACAGACCACAAATGTAAATTTGTTTTTGTATTTCAGAGAAACGGTCCGCAAAAGGGTCTTAGAGAAGCGTCCAGAAGACTTCAAAAAAGACGGCAAAATCTACCGGCTAAGAACTCAAGAGGACAGCGAAGATGACAACAACACGTGGAACGGCAACTCCACTCAGCAGATGTAGTGCAATAACGCTAGTCTCTCTCTTTCTCTCTCTCTCTCTCTTTTGCCCAGTCATCTCCTCTGTCTCTCTCTGACCCAGGTTGACTTTGAGTGCGCATCTTAATGGTGGATTATGCTGAATTAGGGCTATGATTTTCATTTCACCCATCTCTCTCTCCCCTTTCTCTACAAGTGAACCCTTTTTTTGCATGGGTAGATAAAATCAAGCTAATCTCTTGCGTCAGTTTGAATGGAGGTCCCGTCTGTGTGCAGACTACTTGATTTAGCTTTCAGAGTACAGTTGGAGATGACTTCTTGTCTTGAAGTCTAAAAAAATAAAAATAAAAAAAAACTTGACCTGCGCTCTAAACTCAAGGCTTGTTGCTGCAAGGACCTTCTGGCTTTTTATTTAACTGTATCCTGTATGACGTCAAAAAAAAAAGTTTCCAGTAAAGAAAAAAGTGTGAAGGGTTTCGGTGCATGGGGACCCAGCAACCAGTGTGTTTTATATGGATGCTTGGACCCCTTGGCATGACCTGCCTTGGCAATAGAATGTTTCTACTAGTTGACCATGGAAGTCAGTTTACCACTGTCATTTAACAAAAGAATAAAGATGTTTTTCAATTACTTTTGAACTGCCTTACTTTTTTACTGTTCTAGATACACTTAAAATGTGTTTTTAGATATATATATTTTTTACGTTATAAATGTCAAACACTTGGCAGATTGTGTCTCTGACAAAGAAATTACTTAGAACAGAGATCATGAATTTTTATGGTTGATTCCATTTTCATTTGGCTAATTTTTCTGTAAAGAATCAGAATTCACAATAGGCAACGAACATAAAACATTATTAATTTACTTTTTACCAAAGCACAAAGGCCAAATGACCACACTAATATGAAATGTAGTCCTAGCAGATTCACACATGTATTTTCAAGTCCAAGCACTTTTCTAGTAGGGGTCCGTTTTTGGCTTCACATGTGATGTAGAACAGGGAAAAGCACAAATGCAGGTATATTTGCAGTAAATGGTGTGCATGTGAAGTAAACTGCCTAAAACTGTAGTAAACATTACCTACAAAAGAATGTAATTTTGTTTAAGCACTAGCTTAGCGAAGAGCTAACAAGCTAACAGGCCCCTCCATTGGGATTCACATATAGGCTTTAAATTGAAATATTGCCTGAAGGATTCATGCTAATACTGCGACATACTAAATAATGGCTATGTTACATGTAAAAGCTTAAAATGTATAACATTTAAAACTAACATTAGTAATATGCCTAGTGTGGGTGAAGCACCATTAGCTTGGTGTAAACATAAAAATACAGTTGAATGCACCAGCGAGAATTAGCATCATGCTACAGAACATAAGAGCTGCTTACAGATTGTATTTAATAAATGTTGCTTTTTAATAAAATGTTCATGGTGAAATGCAAAAAGTTTTGCATAAATGACACAATATAGTTTGTGAAAATAATAATTAAAAATTCTAGTATTTGAATATCAGTTAAATAGTGTAGTTAAACAGAATACTGTTGGATTTTATCCAAATACCTTTTTTTTGAAAAGCTGTTTTACAAAGAAAAGGAGACCGTGGCAAATGTTTATTAATTTTTAATGGAAGGTAAGTGTTTTAAGTTATATACAGTGTAGCTTATCAATATAGCTGTTTAGTCAAATTTCATAAACAACTGCATAGCATTATGGCTTCTTACATGTACAATATTTCTCTTCTCTTTTGTTATGTATAACACTACATATAATGTCCTGCATATCTACACATATTTGTAAGTGTATAAATATACAGCTTTATCTCAAACAATCTCATGTTTTCAAACAATCATGAAATCTTTAAGAGTTATGTACCCTGAATTGGTAGTATATCAAAGAATATTAATAGCAAATAAAAAAACTTGTTGTTATTAACTGTAACTAACTGTAATAATCAATGAAGAGTATGTTATGGCATTTTCTTTCATTTGTGTTCTTTCAGCACAACCATTGTTGATCATCAGCTATTCTTTGCAGAACCTGCAACACACTGTAAAAGGAACATTTAGAAGAATACCCTCTAACTTTATTTTTAAAACAGACGGGGGATGAGGAACAGCTTAAGATACACTATGTTCAAAAGTTTGTAGTCACTGGTTATATTACTTACTAATAAAGAACCTGTAATTATATGTTTATAATGATTTTGTGTCACACAATTACTATAAATAACTACTTAATCAGCTAGATTTAGTTTCTGTGTTTCGATTATGAGGCAATCTGAACTTTACTGTAGACTTTTTCACAGTGCTGTACAGCTTTCTCAATTGTTATAGAATCATCTTCTGCTCCATTTATCATTGAAAATATCTAAATGTACAAATTTCTACTAAATTATAGTATTTTAGCATCAGATAAGAATTGTTTCATATTGGCAACAAATTGGTTTATAAAAATCAGAACTGGAAAAGTCCACCCTTCTGGCTATGCAGAAAAAGACATTACCAGTCAAGAAGTGTGTTCGTAAAATAATTATTGCTGCTCTTCAGTAACATAAGTTAATATAAGAAATTAAGCAATCTGTAAAGTGCTTTTATAATAATCTATAGTTGTTTTGCCTCCTTTTAATATTCCTGTGGTACTGTTTTATAGTAATCTATACTAGTTGTGAAGTATCCTTTGGTGTACTGCATAGTGAGCAAGTGACAAAACCACAATGCTACCATCAGCATTGTTAGGTAGACACCTAGACAAGGTGTGAGGTTTTTCACCTCAGCAAGAATTTGTGAAATGGCCTATATTGTGGGTGAAGGTAAGATGTAATTGTGTCCCACTTGTTAGCCTGCTTAGGTATACATTTGTTAAAAAACATGTAGCTAAAACTATAGAATAGTATAGAACAATGCATTTAAAATACATTTGTATTCATTGTGCTTTCTACATTATTCAAACGCAATACTCACGTTACTTTCTCTAGTCGATAGTGTGGATCCTCCTTTAGAGCATTTAGTTGCTTCAGTCCTGTGTCAAGGTTGTTTCCAGACATATTCAGTTCAATGAGGTGGGAGGGGTTTGATTTCAGAGCTAAAACCAGAGCAGCACAGCCTTCATCTGTCACACCACAATGCCTCAGCCTGCATAGAAAACAGTTATATATTCTGATTAGTTTGGCAGCAAATTTCTCATCACAACTTAAATAATTGTCGAAGATAGAACCTTAATGTGGTACCATGCAGAAATGACTAAGGCTATGTTCAGGTAAAAGTGGCCAAAATCTGATTTTCTCACCAAATCTGATTTTTCTGTTTGGCTGTTCACATTATGTTTTAAAATGTGACATATATGCAACATGAGTCTGAACAGACCAGCTCCTAAACTGACCCGCATGCTTGAAACAATGATGCGTCACGTTGCTTCACATGGCTTATCCAGAGGTAAACAATCATGACTTCCAATGAATGCCAGTCGCTCCCAGAGGGTTCAGTTTCATCTTCGCCAGCGTCACAGGAGCCATCATGAAGTTTCACTTACTGACAACTGTGCTCATCACCCAGAATGTGTTCAAGCTCACCGTAAAAAGTGCATGTTATTCGGCCACGGCCACTTCTTTGGTTTGTGTCCTAGGATTCTTTAAACTTTGCTTTCAGACATTTAACTGTTCTTTGACACTGCAGCCTAGCTCTCCTTACGGCTGCATTCGGGCCATTTCTTTCGAGATCTCTTTGAACATGGAGGGTTTTGGATGAGTCTCTTCTAATTTTTGTACAGAAATATCACTCCAAATGTTTATGAGGTCTCAGCTGTGCAAAATTATGACGAATGTTGAGTAGGATTGATGTAAAAGCTGCATGAATTCTGATCTGGCTGTTTAGACTGCGTTGCATTGCAGATGGGATACATATTGGATTTCAGTACCACATACGAAAGAGTCCCAAATTGGAATTGAAAATGTCAGATTCAATGCGTTTTTTGCCGTTCACACTGACACACCTGTGTCACATATGAAAAAAAAATTTGATTTGGGACACTTTTACCTGCTGTGTAAACGTAGCCTAAGACCCTATTCACATTTGGCATTAACATGCATCCTGGGTGATCTGATCATAAGTGGATAGGGCTAAATGCAGGTGTGAGCATGCTGCTGTGTTTCTAGAAGACACACTGTGATTTTATCATTCAAACCACCTTCAGAGGTGGTCAGGGATGGATATAATCACATAATATTCATAGTGTGAATGCTAAGGCCAGAAATACGTCAAGCAAGTACACGAACACAGACATAGTTTTGTGTGTTGTCGCGTTCTAAAACATGTCATGACACAATTCAACTGTCATAGCAGAAGAGAAGTTAGACAAGTCTCTTGCAAAAACTGATCGCTTGCATCTACATAGATACATCATCATCCCCAATATTCCAATAAAACAAGTAAGGCCACTGTACTGTCCACATGTTTAGCTGTTGTGGCTGTGGGAATAGTAGTAGATTCTGTTCTGATTTGTCCTCTATTGCCCAAATGAGTGCTGAGTGTTTTAATTGCCACAGTAACGTACGAACGCACAGTGAGTTTGTATAGAAAGACCATGTGTTTGCAATGCATTGACTGTCCGTTGTCATTTGTATTTGTGTGCTTCCGTTCAGTATGTTCTGGCCTAAAACATTGTAATATTTAAGGACCACCTTAATCAACTGTCTCATTTGCGTTAGCACTTCATGTGGTCTAAACATTTGTAACAAACTTTTACACAAACATGGACCCACAATACATTTTGGTCTGACAACAAACACAGTGAGAGACTGAATTATTAAATGTGGGTGATACCATTTCCATCACTGGAGATGCATTTGAGACTCATGGAAATGTCAGGTATAAATGGCTACATCTTACTGTCCACTTGTGATCATATCACTCAAGACTCATGTTAATACCAAGTGTGAATAGGGCCTAAGGTGCACAGTTGCTGCATATTGGATGACTGCACAGCCCTGTCCATCTCACCCGAAGAACGCTTAATAGGGTTTAGATCTGGGGACTGCATTGAAATTGGAACAGATTTCAGTGATAACTCAGACAGTATGGGCTTTGGGACATGCTGCCTTATTATGCTGAAAGTGTCCATCCAGGTGTAGATAAACTGCAGTCATTAAGGATTCTGTGCCAGAACCACCCAGTATCGTTTTGAAAACAATGTGATCCAATTAAGAGCACTCTATGAGTGTGTTTACATGCACTCAATAATCCAATTATAATTGGATTTCTGCAGTTATCTAATTATACAAACAGTAAACAGCACACTCCAATTTCTTAGATCAGAATAAGGTCTAGGAATCCGATTAAGAAATCTGATAAAGAGAGCTAGATTTTATCTCAGTAATCAGATTTCTCAGTGCATGTAAACTCTTACTCTGATTTCTTTCAGATTTCTCAGTCCGCGCATGTGCAAAACCAGACCACGGTACCGGAAATAAGCAAGCAGTGTTACAGTGAGATGGCAGCAAAACACTTTTGGAGTGGCACTGAAACCAAGTACATGCTTGACGAAATGAAGGATTTAAATATTCTTCATCTTCTAGATGATGTATGTTCATATTTTCAGGTAAAGTGGCTAGACATTTGAAAAAAAATGTGGCATAAAATTTTACTTTTACGTTAGGTTTACGTCACATCTTCTTCTGTGAGTTTATTGGCTGCTTGCAAAGCAGCTGTCTGACTCATTCAAACCCGGAGTTTCCCCATCATCTGATTACTCAAGTGCACCTAAACACATTGATCAGATTACTGACAAAGTCAGTTATCAGTTATCGGATTGTTAAGTGCAAGCAAACACATTCAGTCACAGAGAATTTTGGGCATTCCTGTTTGTAATTAATGTGGAATATGGCAATGTAATTTGTCACACTGATGTGTGCCGTCTCTACAGTGTTTTTTTTTTTTAACTGAGATCTGCAATCGAATATTTTGTTTGACTGATGAGCTGATGAGTTGGCTTGGCATGGTTAGTAGTCCTGGCCTTTAAGCTGACTTCACTAGCCAGCTGAACATGAAAGATGAGCTTATGACTTAAACATATGTGCGAGTCTTTTTGAGAGACAATAAGTAACCATAATACAGTTTGGAGTTCTAGGAGAAATTGTGTCCAGTTTTCCAAGCACCAGTATTCCTGAAAAAATGGCTAAATAAGTGGCCATGCTCTGAGATATCTGAGAAATGTGCAGGCCTCAACTGCTTTTGTATCCCTGGAACCATTTGGCAACAATATGAGCCTGGTGACATGCCTTATTTTGCTGAAAGTGTCCATCTGAGTGTAGATAAATGACGGAAGCCCTTACTGAAAAAAACATCTCAGCCCAGCATACTTCCAGCATGAGTCTACCATTCAAATTGTTTTTGGAAATAATGGATGTTGTGTTCTCTGGGGAAAAGAGGAAAAGGACCATCCCAAGCATAATGCTGAGGGGTACGTACACATTTTGGAGCAAAATATGCTGCCAATTTCAGAAACATCTCTGCTTGTTTCAGCAAGACAACGCCAACGCTGTAGTAAGAGGGTGCTGGTGCTAGTGGTAAGTAAATCTTACCTCAGTATTTCAATTTTGAGCTGGGGTTTCTCCAGTTCAGCAGACAGTAGCTTCAGTCCTGAGTCTAATATGTTATTCTTGCAGAGGTCCAACTGTCTCAGGTGTGATGGGTTGGATCTCAGAGCTGAAGCCAAAATTGTGCAGCCTTCTTCAGTGATATTGCAGTCCCACAACCTGGAGATAGAACATCAACACCCAATTCAAAGTGTCAGACTTGTATGAGTGAGTGCCTGCTACATATAATTACATAAAATACTTTTTGAAGACCAAAAACAAAAGAAAAAAAATATTGAAAACATTGAAATTAAAATCTAATTACAGCCATTAACAAACAATACATTACTGTGTAGTACAGGGTCGCTGAGCAAGTATCAAGAATATAACCTCAATGTCTCCAGTGTACAGAGAGGATTCTCCAGTGCAGATGCAAGCTGTTTCACTCCTAAGTCTCCAACTTCGTTTTCAGACAGATCCAGTCCTCTCAGAGCTGATGGATTTGATTTTAGAGCTGTAGCCAGAGCAGCACAGCCTTCATCTTTAACTCTACAACTTGCCAGGCTGCATAAAGAATAACAAAACACTTCCTTTACTTATTAATGTCCCTATCTAAAATGTTTACATTTCCTTTGGTCCACATGTTCTCATAGAAAAAGCCATTGCATATGTGAGCTTGGCTAAGCACAAATTAGATTATACAAAAGAGATTATAGAAAATGATTAGACCATTTAGCTAAAATATTAGGTCACAAGGGACTTCTGATTTTTATAAAAACAGAATAAAAAGTCCTAAAATTCATAGTTAAAATTCAAAAGTGTTTTACTTATATTTTAAATTTTAAGCTGAAAATATATACCAACCAGCCACTTTATTAAAACCACCTCATTATTTCTATGCTTATTGTCCATTTCATCAGCTCCACTTACTATATAGGTGCACTTTGTAGTTCTACAATTACAGACTGTAGTCCATCTGTTTCTCTGCATTCTTAGCCCTATTTTACCCTGTTTTTCAGCACCCCCACAGGACCACTACAGAGCAGGTATTATTTGGGTGGTGGATCATTCTCAGTCCAGCAGTGACACTGATGTGGTGGTGGTTTGTTAGTGTGTGTTGTGCTGGTCTGAGTGGATCAGACACAGCAGTGCTGCTGGAGTTTTTAAACACCTCAGTGTCACTGCTGGACTGAGAATAGTCCACCAACCAAAAATATCCAGCCAACAGTGTCCTGTGGGCAGCGTCCTGTGACCACTGATGAAGGACTAGAGGATGACCAACACAAACTGCGCTGCAGCAGATGAGCTATCATCTCTGACTTTACATCTACAAGGTGGACCACACTAACACAAGCTTTTCCAACACGCTCTGCCAACACAGTACCAGGACGGCAATATTTCCAAACTGAAATTAAGAATTGGAGCTAGATAAAAAAAAACTACCAAATCAGCTAGGTCGCAACTAAACAGGAAGCAATATTAAACACATTATTAATTGTTTAAAAAAAGTATTACTCTCTATGTTTTACTGTAAATTGCCTCGCTCTGCTTTGAATTAAAGTTTGACATAATGTTTGTTAAATGCATACATACACCTAAGCTCAATTATTAGGGGGGTTGTCCACATACTTTTGGCTATGTAATGTCTGTTTATTGCTTTATTCTGATGATGAAAAATGAATAACTTAATGTTTTCACTGGAAATTAATTAAATGTAGAGTGGTCTCTGACTTTTGCATGGTACCGTAGATAGAACACAGATGCTATGGTCTTGAAATACTTGTTCTGATCTTAAAACTGCAGTGTAATATATGCTATACACTTTAGTGTAAGTCAGATTAATTTACGTCAGTATCTTCAGTTTGCACTGTGGATTCTGTAGTCCATCAGAGAGCTCTTTAACTCCAGTATCTTCTAGATCATTCTGAGAGAGATCCAGTTCTATTAGATGAAACAGGTTTGATTTCAGAGCTGATGCCAGAGCACAGCAGCCTTCACTTCTGAAACCACAATTTATCAACCTGCAGATAGAATAACAATTACACTTTACTCTTATCAGTTTAGCACTCACAGACCAGTTCAAAAATATACAGTATTGTGCAAAAGTGTTAATTATGTAGCAGAATGTATGCTTTTGCTTGAAAAAAATATATAACAGTATATAACATTTAAAGAAATGTAAACATTCACACAGTAAAAAGTAACATGAATTTCTTGTTTTTAAAGAAGTTTTTGGGATTATGTAAATGACTTAGGAGCAAATGTTTGGTTCCTTCTTCTTGATGCCCTCAGCATTCACATGATTTGTTAAATTCTTTTACCAACACACCTGATTTAATTTAATATTACTGATTGGGTAAACCATTTATTAGATGATATCTACAAATAATGCTGGGCTTCCACAAAGAGAGTAATAAAGTGGTAAGGTGACAGAAATAAAATACTTATTGTCAAAGTTATCTGCATTTATTCTAATATTGTTTTTGAGCAAATAAACACTGCCAAAAAATAAATAGTTTTCAAATAGTACCTATGATTTTCTGAGGTGCCTAATAGTTTTGCACAGCACTGCATCCTTTGTAGAGGGGCATATACAACACCCAGAGAGACAATCTTACTTCAGTTTTTCCAGTTTACAGTGAGGATTCCCCAGTCCAGAGCAAAGCTGCTGCACTCCTGAATCCAGCAGTTCATTCCAGCTTAAGTTCAGCTCTCTCAGACGTGAAGTACCAGAGCTGATCACTGAAGCCAGAGCTACACAGGTTCTATTAGTCAGGTTACAACTGTTAAGCCTGAGAAGACAAAAAATCAACATTAAAAACATAACACAATGCTTACTAAAACTGTCTATTTCCTTCCTCTAAACTTCTATTTAATTTTTTAGCTCATTCACTAAAAGCATGAGAGTGACAGTTAAGACCAATCTACCATTCTTTAAATATTATGTTGCTGATTCACCCAGATAAAAAATCAGCACATATGCCATATGATCATGGGTATGTAGACTTAGATCAAAACTATGATTGATCAACTGTATCAATTTAACTGTAATTAATACTCCAAAGGCACTTTTCCCTTAGTCTCCCTTTAGGAAGAAAGAGGCTGTGCAGTGACACACCAGTATTTCTTTAACAATATGTTTTTACCCACACATGTTCTAGGCAAGACATGTAAATGAAGTCATACATATTAAAGATGTGGTAAGTGAAGCTCTGATTTGTAGTTAAAATAAAATAAACAAAAACAAACAATAAAATACCCCAAAAATCTCAGAAATAGGGCTACAAATTTTAAGGGAAGACATGCTGGCAAACAATAGTATTTTTTTTTTTTTAAAAATCAGTTTTCTTCATAGAAAATGTTTTTGCTGTAGAAAAAGTCAAATTATAACATTGTGGATATAGATATTAAAATGTAGGAAATATAGTTTAGCGTGTAGATTTTATTTTAAATTTGTAAGAATTACAGCATTCTTTTCCAATTCATTATACTTACAATAATCAATTTTGCTTACATAAAGTTTACAATTAGTGCTATTTATTACTAATAATATAACATTAATAAAACATTAAATTAACATACTGGAAACCTCATTTTTAAGGCAATATGTTTTTCCTATGTTACTCAATAATTCTTTTTCTCAAGAATTCAGTTCACCCACAACATTAAATTTCAACTAGTAAATATTTCATTCCTGATATCAGGAATTCGTTTTCCATATGTGAAAATTATGGCAAGCCATTTTAACTTAATCTTTCATCTTTTTTTCTTGAAATTTAAAAAATGAATTTTTACTAGTAAAAATTTAATTTTTATAAAATCCCTAAATAGAATTTATGCAGGTCACTTAAGGTAAAGGGAAAACCTAAGGCCAAAAATGGTATGTTTTATGCAAGTGACCACAGTTCCCAAGACTGCAGTGTTATCTAGTGCATGTGTTTGTGCCGCAGGCGGTGCACAAGGTAACAGAAGTATGGCAAGCAATCTGTTGTTCATGCTAAGCTAAATGCTAGACAGGCTTTTCCTTTAATATTACTGTCTTAACTTTGCTCTCTTGAAAACATGAGGGGCTGTTGCATATTCACTTGAAAAGTGACAGCATCAATGACTGAGGAGTTCAGTTAAATGGCACAGCTTTAGCATGATCTTTTGCATTGTTTGTATATTGTGTCATCCACACTGATTTGTTTGTATATCAGGTTACAAGAAAACTCAGACCTTACAAAGAATTTCAACAGTTACACCGAATGAACCAGTATATCACTCACTAACAGCGGTATGTATAACCAATTATGCCCTGAATTTCCATGTTTCTCAAATGTGTGACCCATGACCCCTTATAATCATATTTTGTGACTAGAAGTGAAAGTGGAACTTTTCCTTTTGATTTGGTATCAACTACGCACACTTTTATTTTCCCCTTAGGTTCCCTTCTAAGAGTCATATTAATCGGGTCTACTTACTCAGCTTTTTTGCTTGCTTTAACCACAGGAAGCAGTTTCAGAACAACCTCTTCTGATCTGTTGTGCGCTCCAGTGTATGTACTCAGATCAAACTCTTTAAGTTCCTCTGCTGAACTTAGAAGCACAAAAACTAAAGCTGACCAATGTGAAGAAGAAAGTGTGGTTTGTTTTTGTTTTATCTCTCCAGAATTCAAATAAGTTTTAATTTCCTGCTCTAGGGAATGATCATTCAGTTCACTCAGGCAGTGAAACAGATTGATGGATTTCTCAGCAGGAGGATTTTCTTGGATCTTATTCTTGATGTATGCAGTTGTTTCCTCAGTGTTGTTGACACTGCTTCCAGCATGTGTCAGAATGCCTTGCAAGAGATTGGATTCAAGTGACAGGCCTAGAAGGAAACGGAGGAAAAGATCTAGATGTCCGTTCTTATCCTTTAAGGCTCTATCCACAGCACATTTGTGTAACTCTGAGATTGTAATTTCTCCCCATAGAAACTGTCTAGGAAGCCAGCTCTGGTCAAGTATGTTTGTGTTGTGCTTCACAAAGGTCAAATGCACATATAGAGCTGCCAGATGCTCCTGAATGCTCAGATGAACAAAGTAGTAGACTTTCTTCTGGAACAGCCCAACCTCCTGCTTGAAGAGCTTTGTGCACACTCCTAAGAACATTGAGGCTTCATTGACATCAATGCCACAGTCGCTCAGGTCTTCTTCATAGAAAATCAGGTTGTCTTTCATCAGCTGGTCAAATGCCAGTTTTCCCAGTTTGAGAATCATGTCGTCATTCATTTTCTGCTTGGTCTGAACGACTAAGAAGTGAGTGTACATTTGAGTCAGAGTCTTGGGAATCTCTTCTTCCTGAATGGTTCTCTCGAGCACAGTAGCTAAAATCCAACAGAACACTGGTATGTGGCACATGACATGGAGGGTGTTTGTTGACTTAATGTGGTTGATGATTTTACTGGCCATAGCTGGATCACTGATCTTCTTCTTGAAGTACTCCTCCTTCTGTGAGTCATTGAACCCTCGTACCTCTGTCACTCGATCAATGTACTCAGATGGGATCTGATGTGCTGATGCTGGTCGGGAGGTTATCCAGATGAGAGCAGAGGGCAGCAGATTCCTCATAATGAGGTTTGTAAGCAGCACATCCACTGAGGCCGATTTACTCACATCAGAAATTTTCACATTGTTCTGGAAATCCAGAGGTAGACGGCACTCATCCAAACCATCAAAAATGAAGATAATCTTATAGTTATGGCTGGAAATGTCCATGTCTTTTGTGACAGCAAAGAACCTATCAAGAAGAGCCATCAGGCTGAGTTCTTCATCCTTCAGCAAATTCAACTCCCTAAAAGGAAGTGGAAATATGAGGTGGACATCTGAATTTGCTTTTTCTTCGCTCCAGTCCAGAATAAACTTCTGTACAGAGGCTGTTTTTCCAATGCCGGCGACTCCCTTTGTCAGTACAGTTCTGATGGGTTTGTCTTGTCCAGGTGAGGGTTTAAATATGTCATTGCATTTGATTTCCATGTCTTCTGCTGGTAGCCTGGTAGACATTATCTCAATCTGTCTGATCTCATGTTCAGTACTGATCTCATCACTTCCACTCTCTGTGATGTAGAGGTCTGTGTATATATCACTGAGAAGTGTTTGGGTGAACTCATTTGCTGGTCCCTCATACAAACACTGAAATTTCACTCGCAGGTGTGATTTTAATTTTTGAAGAATTTCCACAGCATGACTTGTTTCTCTTCTAAAAAAGAAACAAATAAAAATAAGTTAAAAACATTGGAATTTTTGCTAAGAAAATAAGTCAAAGGATTTTTGCTGTTTTATTTACCCCGTCTTCAATTTTTGCTTACCCCACGACTTCACTTTTTTCTTTTGGCTGTATAACAAGTCTTTGTAGACTCTCCTGTAGGATGCTGAAAGAGAAGTCTTCATTAAGCACATTTTTTTGACACAATCTGTCTGCTTTCTGAATTATTCCACATTAATTACACATGCTTTAAAATAATTACTACCCTGTTCATTTTGTTGTATTTCTTTATTGAGAGTAAAAGCTTCTTGGACAAAAATATTTTCCATTAAATGCTTCAAGTGTATTTTTTCTTTATTCACTAGGTTTCTTTACACTTTCAAGAAAAAAAGACTTACTTAGAAGCAAAGTTATATAAAAGATATCTTAACTTTTTATGTACTATACTGTGCAAAGTTCATAGACCACCTTTCATTTATCTAATTTCCAGTCTAATATAAGTGACTCATTTTTAAGCATAAGAAAAAAAGCAAAAGACATATATTAAACAGACAGTTACACAAAGGCCTCAATAACTAAATATATCATTTATTTGTCCACTCTTTACCTTCATTACAGCTTCCATTCTTTTCAGGAGACTCACTTTCAGTTTCTCAAAGAAATCTGCAGCCACACCTCCAAAGTTCAGTCTTAGAAGTTGGTTTGGAACTTTCTGCTTTTCACCATCCAAATAATCTTAATCACAAATTTAGAATTATCAGTCCATAAAACCTTACTCCACATTTTAGAGGTGGAGTTTCTATGGAGAAAAATTGTTCTCCTTTTTGTCTATTTTTTTTTTGTACCTTTAGGAACAGCTTGCCTTGTGAGAACACATCTGTAACTGGTTGGTTTTAAGGTTGTAAAGATGGTAGAATGAACAGAAGTAAAGAGTGGGCAAATAAAATACTGACAGATTTGAAATTAGTTTGTGTTGGTGGCTTTTGTGTAATTGTCTGGTAAATATATGTTTCATCAAACTGAAAAATGAATAACTTGTACTTAATGGCCATTTTGACTGGAAATAAATAAAAGGGTAATCTCTATGTTTTGTACAGTACTGTGCATCAACAAATTGTCATTACTTGTAGTGAACTCTGGGCTGGTCATGGTTCTTGGACATCTAACTGCGTACTGGTGTAGTTTGATCTTTGAATGGAGGGTTAAACAAATGAAGTCATTGAAACAAAGACTGACTGCACACTAAATGCAGAACATGTGGTGTTTATTAATTGTTTTATGTTGGACACAGTTAAATGCTCCTCACCCTAGACCAAGGTTTATACATTTCTGGTTAAGCTGGTGCAAAAAGGACACTTGTGTGGAAATTATCATAAATCTCAGCTGAAATCTAAAAGACTCGTTGGCATATTGTGATGTGTGAACTACCTGTGTTGAGAAAGGGGGTCCTCATCTGTGAAATTTAGGTGTTTATCTTGAGAAATATCACTCCTTAGAGATGCCACTGAGTCTGATCTCTCTGGAGGCACTGAAGAGCTTTAAATAAAATTGTATATTTTCAAATATCATGAGTAGTTTTTGCTTCAGGCTTGTGCAAATAAAACACATAAGGCAGTAACCAATGTTAAGAAAGAAATACTTTTGTGGAAATGTTCATGAAACTCAGCTGAAATCTAAAAGATTGCATACTTGTAATAATATTGTGGTGTGTGTTTTACCTGTGTTGAGAAAGGGGGTCCTCATCTGTAAAGTTTAGGTGTTTATCCTGAGAAAAATGACTCCTTAGAGATGCCACTGAGTCTGATCTCTCTGGAGGCACTGAGGAGCTTCAAATAACATGGTATATTTTCAAATATTGTGAGTAGTTTTTGCTTCAGGCTTGTGCAAATAAAACACATAAGGCAGTAACCAATGTTAAGAAAGAAATACTTTTGTGGAAATTATCATGAAACTCAGCCGAAATCTAAATGATTGCATACTTGTAATAATATTGTGGTGTGTGTTTTACCTGTGTTGAGGAAGGGGGTCCTCATCTGTGAAGTTTAGGTGTTTATCCTGAGAAAAATTACTCCTTAGAGATGCCACTGAGTCTGATCTCTCTGGAGGCCCTGAAGAGCTTCAAATAAAATAGTACATTTTCAAATATCTTGAGCAGTTCAGTGGGGAAACAATAATGTCTATTAAGTTTTAATGACAAAAAAATTCACAGAGAAACCCAAAAACAGACTTTTAACAAGACAGAATACATCAACTGTAACATCAGGTATGAGTAATTATTTGTCAAATATAAACATTGGTTAAGTGACAATCAGTGCTTTTTAAAGCAACCATCTGCCAAAACTGTTATGATTCCGATATATTTGTGCTCCCCTAGAAAATTATTTAATTAAGAATGTATCATGGTCACCTCTGAAAAATTCTTGAAAAAATTCCCAGATAACCCAGTTTTCCGCAGTGACAACACTCCTTCAATATGGGCATTTAAGGCAAACAGCCTGGGTAGTCAATAAAAAAGGTGTATAACTGATGCTCGTCTCATCCCTGTACACAAAGTTGAGCTGACTGAAACAAGCTCCTATAATCTTCCTGTTAAGCCACCTACATCAGTAATGGCATCCTTCTTTATTATCAATTAACAGGAGCTTACAACAGTTTAAGTTCATCCACATGTTGTCCATAGGTAGTTCATGGTTTCAATGGGAAATTGATGAAAAACATTTAGCATTTCTTGTGGAGTCCCTCAAGATTCAGTTTTAGGTCCTTTTCTCTTTGTACATACCTCTATGTGATGTAATTAGGAAACATAATATAAATTTTCCAATTTTTTCAATACATTTCCATTCCTTCAGATGATCAAGACTCTGTAGACAGACTGACCAGCTATGTGTCAGATATTTCTCAGTGGATGTCGCGAGATGTTCTACAATTAAATCACAAAAAAATGGAAATACTATTCGTTGGTACAACAACTCAGAGAAAGCTGCTTTATGAGAAACGTGGTTCTTTAGCTTCATACACCAAACCTGAAGTATGAAACCTGGGTGTGATCTTAAACTCTGAGCTCTGTTTTATCCCGCATGCAAATGCAGTCACTAAAGTAGCTTTTTATCATTTGAGAAATATTGACACTCCCATTTTAAAAGAACTGCACTGTCTACCTGTGCCATTCAGAATAGATTTTAAAGTTCTGCTACTAGTTTTTAAGGCTCTACATGACCTAGCACCTGCTTACATCACACAATGTCTGTCTGTTTATGTTCCAGCACAAGATCTTAGATCTGCAGATAGTGGCCTTCTGCAAATACCTTCTGTAAAATACAGAAAACATGGAGAGAATCTTTCACTTATTCTGCTTCTAAACTGTGGAACTCAATTCAATACCTTTCATTAGACAGTCAAGTTCAGTACTCACTTTTAAAAAGCATCTAAAATCTATCTCTTTAACTTATTTAATTAAAGCTACGTCTCTTGGTATTTGTCTTTTAATTTGATCTGTGTCATTGTTTTATATGATTCTAAATTAATACTTGTAATTTCTTGTATTACTGTTAGGATTTATCACCTGTCTGTAAAGCACTTTGAGTTGCTACCACCATGTGCTATATAAAAAAAGTTGTTTATTTATTTATTTACTTACTTACTTAGGACCTTTCTCAAGAACAAATTTAAGAAATTGCTTAGGAAGAAATTGGTGAATGAAGCCCATTGTTCTTAAATGCATTTTCAGAAATAAAAAAAGAATTCCTAACTCTAAAATTTTAAGAAGTTCTCAAAAAAATCTCTTAAGAAATTCTTCGTTATTTTCTCAAGGAAGTCTTTAGAATCTTCAGAATATTCTCATTAAATTTTGAGAAAATAGTCCTCTTATGTAGGCTGTAGCTTATTTGTCAGGTAGTCTATTAATATCTTCTTTCATTTTATAGTTTACCATAACCATGATTTCAATTTTAAATTTTGATTAAATGTTATTTGCGTGACCTGTCCAGGGTGTATCCTGCCTTCCGTCCAATGACAGCTGGGATAGGCTCCAGCACCCCACCGGAACCCAGAAGGATAAGCGGTTTAGATGGTGTGTGTGTGTGTGTGTGTGTGTGTGTGTGTGTGTGTGTGTGTGTGTGTGTGTTATTTGTGTTAATCAGTTACTCATTTTCATCTACTCAGTGCCCAACGCCAACAAAGTAGTGAAAAAAACATGCTAATAGAAATACCTGCATCTCAAGTGACCACGTCTACTGATTTCTGACATTATATTTACCATACAATGTTTCAAAGAGATTATTCAGTAGTTTATTAGTACTGCTAATATGATCATTAAGTATATGTCCATATTTCAAACACATCTACAGTGTAGAAGTAGGGATCTCAGTTTTAAACAGATACACTTACACATATTCTTTGCCCTCAGTGTTAGAAGAGCTCATCTCACATTCCTCAGAGTGACTCATGCTGCTGATCTGGTTTTCCACAATCTGCCAACGCACTGTGATCCACGCCTTTCTTCACAGTGTACTTTCTTTTTTCAGAGTCCTGATTGAATGTTTCTTCACAGAATGTCTAAAAACACAATGAGAGGCAAAAATGGTAAATTTGAATCACCTCATTTTTCTACTTGTTCACTTACAAAACAACTCAAAGAATTAATATATAAGCAAGCAAACTCAAACACTGATGAACACAGTAATGAAAACTGTAAGGAAATACAGATTTTCCACTGCACAGCATCTGCATAAGCTTGATTTAGACCTCAATCTCAATGCTTAAAAAAATCAGTCCACAAACTGTAAATATGAGCCATTAGATTATGTTAGATTAGGACGAACACCAAGTTCCTCCTGAACTTCTTCAAGAGTAAATGAACATATATAATCCACTCTCCCTCTAATAATCTTACACTATAATCATAGCCAAAAAAAGACACATATATTTTATATATACTCACAGTTTTAGCTCCATGTTGAGAGTGATGTTTTCAGTGTCACATTCGGGAACTTATTTTCACTTTGACTTCTATACAGAAAATATGTAACCAGACAGCTTTGTCTTTATCTTTTGTCTGGTGTTCTGATTGGTTTAGATATGATTAACCTGTTCTGATGACAAAAAACAGACACATACTTTCAGTCTCTATAAGCAAAACAAACACTTCATTTTGATACTGCTGTATTAACTGAATATTAATCATAATTGTTATGCATATGGTTTAATAGTTTAATAATGATTTTAAAGTTTCATTTTATAGTCCATGTTAAATAATCAAACTGTGGCCAGTTTGAAGCGGAACAGTGACCGCTGCTAAGTTGATGCTTTTACAGGTAAATTTACTTGAATTTATGAGGCCTGTGTTGCCAGAAAGCCTACATACCACAGTTTAGAGTCCAGAGAGCTCACCCTGACCAGCAGCTGATCAGGTAAGCATGAACCAGTTATGGATACCTTAAAGAGCAGCTGTGGGCATTGACAGTTTAGCAGGCCAAATATACTAGCATTTTTCAGGAATTCTTAGGCAGGGAAATGCAAACAAGACCTCAGTAAGTTTAGATCAGGTACAAATGTGCATACAATCAATTAATCAAAACTGTTAATCAATCTATCTATCCATCCTAATATAATTAGAAATACTTTAACACCTCAAGCCGGCTATTGTTTAAGAAAACATTTCAAATAAATCACAAATTAATACCAAATTAAAACTATAATACAGTTCTTTTGCATAACTCTTATAATACTAATATGAACAGCAGTGGTATGAAATAATGCAGTCACCCTAAATTCATCAAAAATAAATTAATAAACAAAAAGAAAAAAATGACAAAAGTAAATTTTAAGTGAATTAACATTTGCAGATTTGTATTTAATAGTTGCATTTATTACTTTTCACTTCAAAAATCAATAAAGCACATAAGCTGGCCGGGGTGCTGTATTTTTATGTCTGCAGTTGCTACTCAGAGCCTTTCCTAGTTTCTCTCATTAGCACACAGTGTCCAGGTGAACTGAGGGCAGATTAGTAGAAAGTGTACTGGAAGTCTTCTGTTCCAGCCTCTTCCACCAGATGGGGCAGTTGGGTAAACAAGAGGGATCTTATGGTGGATATGGTCTCACAAAGTCCTGGCTACTGTTAGAACAGTGACATCAGCAACAATCTACTCATATGCTGATCAGAGTGGAAGTTATGTGAGTGAATGCAAGTTATGCAAGCGAGAAATGGTGACTGGAAAGATTTGGAAGGACAAATGAGGACATGCAGGTATAATTTTTATAATAAATGTATTGCTTTTAGTATAAAACAAGTCATAAAATAATAATCCCAATGAAAAGAATCAAACCTGGATCATCCTGAAAGATTTAAGGCAAATCATTAACACAGTTTCTTCTTCATAGTTCATTAAAAATATGCAGTGCTTGAAAGCAGAAATGATATTTTAGTATAGTTTGCTATAATGCTATAAATTATTTAATAAAATTATAGTTTTGGTACCTGTGAATAACTGTGAATAACTCAGTCAGTACAGTGTTCTGAGGGAAAATAAGACAGGCTACACCTCTAGAACATCTGGTTGCATATTAAACAGGTGCATTCTGTATAATACACTTAACTTTCTGTTAAGCGCTGATTGTAAAGTGGACTGATATGAAAACTCTGTAAACAGTGACTTTATGCATTCATGTATTCTTGAAGATGATCAGATAGTCAGGGTAAGCCCCCGCATCACAGAACACCACAAAGATGAATGGATCCTCCAGATTATCCACAGCGCAGTCGTACAGACCAGCCCGGGGGTCGTTAGGGTCCAGAGGGTCCGGCTCTTTCATTCCTCTTCGAGTTTTACAAGGTGTCCCGGTCACAACTCTGGCTCTGTAGATGTACTTCAACCCGTTCCAATGAGGGGTTGAGAACCGGTGCTGACAGGAGTACCAGGCTTCCATGGCAAAGTAGGTGCCGTGGCCATGAACTACAGCTTAAAAGACATAGAAATTAGCCTGAGCATAACTTGAAAGACTGGGCCTTACTGGTGAAGAATGCCACAAATTTCACAAAGATCTGAGATTCTCAACATTATTTTGGATCTCATTGTCTTCTTGAGTCCACTGCTCCTCCCACACTCCCTGAGCAGGAGTCCAGTACAACACCAATGCCAAGCATATTACTAGTGAATATGTCCTCTACTGAGGAGATTAGCAGTTTGATCAAACCTCAAAAGAGCTCACTAATGCTGAGATTAATAACTGGTTATCACATTGATTTATCAGTCTATTCAGGCTTTAGCAGAGCTCAGTAACACTGAGATTAATAACTGATCACATTGATTTATCAGTCTACTCAGGTTTTAGCAGAGCTCAGTAACACTGAGATTAATAACTGATCACATTGATTTATCAGTCTACTCAGGCTTTAGCAGAGCTCAGTAACACTGAGATTAATAACTGATCACATTGATTTATCAGTCTACTCAGGCTTTAGCAGAGCTCAGTAACACTGAGATTAATAACTGATCATCACATTGATTTATCAGTCTACTCAGGCTTTAGCAGAGCTCAGTAACACTGAGATTAATAACTGATCACATTGATTTATCAGTCTACTCAGGCTTTAGCAGGAACTTCAGCTTTTAAAAGAAGCCTTTAATTCAGGTCCTCTTTAGAGTCCGTATAACAAGCATTCATTGAATTTCCATATCATACACTTATAAATTAAAATAGTTAAGAAACAAGCACCAACAATGTTTCATATATAAGATGGTACATATATATTTTTTTATGTAGCTGCTAAGTATTCGAAAATTATTCTCCTAAAAATGTAAAAAGTAACTGTATTCTGAATACAGCTTTATCAAAATTTAACTTGGGCTGAATACAGATACTTAATTTCTGTATTCTGGTTACATATTCCCAATGCTAGTATTCTGTCACATCCCAACCATGGTGAATATTACTTGTTGGTAATTGCCGCCCATATTTCTAAAATGAAAAAGAAAAAACTTACCGTTTCTTCCACAGAAGCTCCTGTTGAATCCGTTCTTATTGATTTTCTTACTGATTTCTTTAGTGGTGCCGTGATAGAGGAACTGCTCATTTATCTGGTCGGGGTATTTCTTATCCACCTCCTGCTTCAGCACAGCGTACCTCTGCCATAGGCCTTTATTCTGAATTCTGCGGATCTGCAAAGTTTAATTTTGCGATAAAAAAAATCACCATTGATTTATCACATTTTGTAACAACTTTTCACAATTGCACCTCAAACCCATGTGATTTTGTGAAGAAATCGTTGTTGGAGCCAAGCTACCCTCCACAGAGAAGATATATATCTGGAGGAGAGGTTCAGGGAGAGGCTTTCAGTCTATAACAGCCTCAGCAAGCGAGTTCATAAGAGTTTTTATCCAGCTGCAGTACACATTCTGAACACTGTAGCTGCAAGTTAATGAGAAGTTAATGCACTTGTACTGAGGTGATTGATGGGACTTGTTTATTCATACATTCATTCGTTTTAATGTTAGGCTTGGCACCCATTAAATTCCAGTGTGTGCATTCCTGCACTTAAAAATGGTAAATAATAAACTGAATTGAGTCCTTAATTACAGAGACATGATGACTCACTAATTAGAAGGGGCATCTGCATATTTTTAGACAGATACAGTTCTGTGCAAAAGTCCGAGACCACTCTTTTGCTAGTTTAATTTTCAGTCAAAACAGCAATTAAGTAAAAGCTATTTATCTTTGGCATCAAAAAAAGGAGAAAATACTTTATTTATACACTTAATGATCACTTTATTAAGCACACCTCCTTATATCTACACTCACTGTCCATTTTATCATTTATACTTTATAACCCTCCTTTCATCCTGTTCTTCTATGGTCAGGACCCTCACAGGACCACCACAGAGCAGGTACTATTTGGGTGGTGGGTCATTCTCAGCACTGCAGTGACATTGACGTGGTGGTGTGTTAGTGTGTGTTGCACTGGTACGAGTGGATCAGACACAGCAGTGCTGCTGGAGTTTTAAACACCTCAGTGTCACTGCTGGACTGAGAGTAGCCCACCAACCAAAAATATCCAGCAAGCAGCGTCCTGTGGGTGGCGTCCTGTGACCACTGATGAAGGACTAGAGGATCACCACCACACACTGCACAGCAACAGATGAGCTATCATCTCTGACTTTACATCTACAAGGTGGATCAACAAGGTAGGAGTGTCTAATATAGTAGACAGTGAGTGGACACAGTGTTTAAAAACTCCAGCAGCACTGCTGCGTCTGATTCACTTTTACCAGCGCAACACACACTAACACACCACTGTCATGTCAGTGTTTGGACTGGAAATTCAATGAATAAAAGGGTGGTCTCTGACTTTTGCACATCATGAATAATGCCCAATATGAATGGTGGAAAACTGACAATTTTATAAAACAAAAGTATGAAGTGTAAGTAATTTCTGGGTTTAATCACACATTCTTGCGTGCATAGATAGTTGCATTTTTAAAATCTTGCTAAGCCAGTGTTTTATGACTGATTTTTAAATTTTAAATATTAGACCATGTCTTTCAATAAGATATATAGCAGTTTTTTGCTTACTTGCACAACCTCAACAGGATCTATATCAGGGTACTGGCTGGAGCTCAGAAAAGCTGTCTCTATTTTCTTGTACTCATCTGAATCTGGAACGAGTGGAATTATTGCCAAGTCTCGTCCTTCCATTTTAGTCCATGTTGGTGGAGGCTGAATAACAGCTGAAAGAATACAGTCAAAGATCTTTAGTCCAGCAAATCTGACCAGAAACAACATACAGCTGTCCTGAGACAACTTTATAAGACAAGTGTATTTTACATTGTATGACCAAGTCTTGACCAACTTGTACTGTCCAGAGGCCTTCTTGAGTTGAGTACTCTACATCTAGTTGTAGAGCTGGGCAATATGGCAAAAATATCATGATTTTTCAATAAGTTATCACAATTCTGTAACTTATCACGATAATGATAAATATCGTTACTCAGCCCTACGACATGAGTACTAGGGCTCAACTGATATGAACATTTGGCCCAATACCAATTTTAATGTGCTAGATTTTCCCATAACCACCAATATCAGTTTCTGATCATTTTCAGAGTTCTCTTCATATTTTTTTTCTGTCATGCTAAAGGTTAGGGTTGGGTATGTTTTGTGTATTTTTGTTATTATGATATGTTATGTTATGATGTTTTGTTTTCAGATTCATCGGCCTGTATTGCTGACATATTGTTAAATATGTAGTGCCTTACACTGTTAGAAATAAAGGTTCTGTGCAGGTACATTTTTCATTCATCAAGACACAAACAATGTAAATGTACCCTCAAATGTGCAACAGTGGTTTTAAGGTCCAACTGTGAACCTTAAATAAGTTCTTCTCAGGTGAAAAGAACATATTTTTCATAGCCTAATGTTTTCAATGGATTATGTTACAGTTATGTTCCCTGACTAAAGGTACTGAGAGGTACCCTCGAGGCTACCACCCCAGTGACAGTTTAGTACCTTTATTTCTGAGAGTGTATGTTGGGATCCCCAGTGGTGCAACTGTTTAAGGTTTCACCCTATCTTCTAAAATAAATAATAAAATAAAATCATAAATAAATAAATGTTAATTACATGCACATTATGTGTGACATGTCACCAGTATGGGATATTTTCAGCCAACTGATATATCTGCTGGGGCCTACTGTATATTAAATTAGTCCCCTGATTCATAAGGCTTAATGCAAACAATACAACAAATCTAACCAAGAATAGAATTATGCATTTCTCTATGCTTCCTCTTCATGCTGGCTTGCAAGATTCATCAAGATTTTTACCTGTGTCTGAGTCACCGATCAGGGTTCTCTTTATCCTGCAGGACTTTCCACTGCTGTTCTCCTGTGTCAGCTCTTTGAGGTCCACAGTGTAAACCTCTCCTTCCACCTCATATGTAAAGCTCTGCTCTTTCTTGTGAAAGGCTAATTCCAGCTGGTAGCTAATGCTGGAGTCCAGCGGTACCCATTCCTCTCCTTCAGCCACCTCCCAGCACAGAGTCTCACTCAATCTCTTTATCTCACTTTCCTGGGCTTCCCTCTCCTTGGCTGCCTGGATGAAGCTTGAGATGTTCAAAACTGTATCCAGAACATCGTCCTTCTTCCCTGACACAGTTAGTCTGTCTGAGGAAGAAACAAGAATGTGCACTTGGTTGTTCTTGCTAAGGGTGACGATGGCCTCCTTATCAGCTTCTTGAAGGTTGGTCAGGTAACTGGACCGGACATCTCTGCTGGTACATTCTTCAGAGATAAGGTCATCCAGGAGCTTCTTGACTTTGGCAAGGTCAGCAGGAGAGGTTCCATACACCTCCACAGTCATTACAGGGAAAGTTACTGCAGCCAGTGCAGTAGCAAGGCTGATCAGTGGCTGTTTGGCTGGGCTTTGGTTTGTTTCATTTTGCTGAGTAGGCTTGGGTGCTGTGTAGAACCAAATATGTGATGGTTAGGGCAAAATATAAAGACTGACCATTGTAATAGCTCCTGAGCCCTTGCAGTGATTTCCACTACAGAAATTTCTCCAGATTCTCTGAATCTTTTAATGATATTACGTGCCGTATATTTTGAAATCCCCAAGTTCTTTGCTATTTTATGTTATTCTTGAATTGCACTATTTGCTCATGCAGTCTTTCACAGAGTGGTGAACCCCTCCTCATCTTTACTTCTGAAAGACTCAGCCTCTCTGGGATGCTTTTTTATACTCAATCATGTTACTGACCTGTAGCCAATTAACCTAATTAGCTGTGAGATGTTCCATGTGGTGTTTCATAACATTGTACAACTTCTACAATTATTAGCCTTTTGTTGCTCCTGTCCCAACTTTTTTGGAATGTGTTGCTGGCATCTAATTCAAAATTCAAATTTCTCAGTTTCAATTATTGACATGTTGTCTTTGTACTATGTTCATTTAAATATAGGGTTTAACTGATTTGCATATGATTACATTATGTTTTTATTTACATTTTGCACAGCGTCTCAACTTTTTTGAAATTTAGGTTGTATGTAGAAATTCACAAAATGATAGTGGGTTCACAAACTTTCAAGCAGCACTGTTAACAATGAATGCATCAGCTAACAGAAACCCAGTAATCTCTAATTTTATGTAAGATGGCACAAATCCATGACTTAATTCCTTGTTATTATGTACATTATGTGCTGTTCTCACCTTCTCTCCTCAGCTGCTCCTTGAGAGCCTCCACCCCTCCCTTTTTCTCAATGAAATCAAAAATGATCATAGACATTTCTTTGTCTTTCAGCTGAGCCTCACTGATACCACACATGTGAAATAGGTTCATCAGTTCTGGGTCCAATTTCTCCAGCTGAAATCATAGCAAGTGGCTGAGTTAGGATGATTTATTAAAAACCTAAAAAACAGCATAAAATTTAGGCTGCTCATTTGGGCTGGTGGACCCTATTTGTGGATGTTCCAGGGATTGCTGGGTTAATTCTGTGGTTCTTTTCAGAGTCTATTGTTTGATATATTCCAGGTTTAGTTAGGGGATGAACCGGTTTATGTTTATGCTTAAGATGAGTTTAGAGATTCTGAAGTCCAAGTCCTGCTCTCTCTGAAACAGTGCAACATTCTTGTTACCAATGCAAAAAAATCACTTGCTACCCCATTAAGGTACCTGAGCTGTCAGGTCAAAAGACTTAATGAAGCAAAAAATTTTGTCCAGAACTGCTCATTATGCACTGGCCTTTATTATGTTGTATTCTACCTGGGTGTCTGCTGTCCACTCTTTGAGAACTTGCAGAAACTCATGTAGGACTTCATCCCGGTCAACAACAACACAGATGAGTTCAACAGCAGTAAATGAATGCTGAGATAAATGATCTTCAAATGCCTGCAGCATGGCAGTCATAGCTTCTTTACTCTTAAGACCACCTCCACCTTAAACAGAATGACATTGTTAGAGTGAAAAATCTCCATCCAATCAAAGATTACTCTCAAATGTCTTTTTAGCATTTAAGTCATACCGGTACCGACAGCAGGGAAGGAAACTGTGCTGATTTTCTTCTGCTCACATCGCTCCAGGACCTTCTTCACCCGTAACCTTGCCGCAGCAGGGGTGTGGGGTCCTATCATGTGGATGATGAAATTACTCTGCAGGTTTCCAGCACTGGTCAGGGCAACCATATCACCCTGCAATGGACCTTCAAAGATACAGGCTCAACAGTTTATGTACAATCGAATTCAAAAGTTTGGGCTCCCCTGACCATGGCATATATTTTGATTTTACCACATAAACTGGACAATGAGTGTAGAAACTACTTTGAGGGTACAAACCAGCTGGCCACAACCAGCTTACCACATAAACTGGACAATGAGTGTAGAAACTACTTTGAGGGTACAAACTGGGATGTGCAGTTTGAGGTACAGACTTAAGCTGGAGGGATACCACACCACCACAGACACTCAACGCATGTGACAAGGCCTGCAATTATCAGCACAGTAGCAGCGGGGCCACAATGTCCACTGATGAGGGACTAGAGGATGACCAACACAAACTGTGCAGCAGTCTCTGACTTTACATCTGACTTTACATCTACAAGGTGGACCAACACACACTAACATACCACCACCACGTCAGCTCCACTTACCACATAAACTGGACAATGAGTGTAGAAACTACTTTGAGGGTACAAACTGGGATGTGCAGTTTGAGGTACAGACTTAAGCTGGAGGGATACCACACCACCACAGACACTCAACGCATGTGACAAGGCCTGCAATTATCAGCACAGTAGCAGCGGGGCCACAACCAGCAAAGCCGCACTGCCAGATGAGCTGAATGAGTTATATGCTCACTTTGAGGCCCTCAATATCAACACAGAGGTATCTTGGCTTTGGATAGCACACATCGCTCACTGTATCACTGGTAGATGCTGGTTATGGTTCTGAGGAGAACAAACCCACAGAAGGCAGCTGGCCCTGACAACATCCCCAGGCGTGCACTCAGGGTTTGCTCATCAGAGCTGGCTGATGTGTTTGCAGACATATTCAATCTGTCATTCATGCAAACTTCTGTGCCCACCTGCTTCAAGTCCACCACTATTGTGCCCCTCCCAACGAAAAGCATGGTGACCTGCCTAAATGACTATTGTCCTGTTGCACTCACTCCAATCGTGATGAAGTGCTTCGAAAGGATATTCATTACTCACATCTGGGAGACCATTCTGGACACCTTGGACCCTCTGCAGTTTGTGTACTGTCAGAACCGGTCCACTGTCGACGCAGTCAGCACTGTCATTCACATAGCCCTCACACACCTAAAGGGCAAGGACACCTATATCAGAATGCTGTTTATCGACTACAGCTCAGCAATCAACGCGGTCATCCCACTCATACTCTCTGAAAAGCTCCTCACCCTCACACTGACACCCTCCCTTTGTAACTGGGTGCTGAACTTTCTAACAGGCAGATCCCAGTAAGTCAGAGGGGGCAACTGCACATCCAGCACAAGATATAAAAGGGACCCCCCCCTGGGTTGTGTGTTGAGGCCCCACCCTGCATGGCCTCCTAGAAGCACACCAGCATCAACAAGTTTGCTGATGATACTACAGCCATTGGACTGATCACTGGAGAGGATGAGACAGCATACAGGAGGGAGGTGGTAGATGTGATGGCCTGGTATCATGACAATAATCTGTCCCTTAATGCAGACAAGCCCAAGGACACTACACATAGGTGAGACAGAGATGGAGAGGGTGAAAACCTTCAAATTCCTTGGCGTTCACATCAGTGAGGATCACACCTGGTTTCACCACACACCAAATCATCAAGAAGTCCCATCAGCAACAGTACTTTCCAAGAAGGCTAAGGAAATTTGGCATACCAGCATCTCAGCAACTTCTACAAGTGTACGATCAAGAGTGTCTTTACCAGCTCCACCATAGTCTGGTATAGAACTTGCACTGCTTAGCACAGGAAGGCATGCAATCAAAACTGCACAGTTCATCTCATTTGTTTGAGTAAACCTCGCCTCGCTACAGAACCTTTACCACGCCAGGGTCATCAGGAAGGCACTCAGCATCATCAGGGACAGTACACATCCTCAACACAGCCTCTTCACTCTTCTACCATCAGGCAGACACTACAGGAGTGTGAAATCCAGCGCAAGAAGACTGACAAACAGTTTCTACCCACAGGCCATCAGGCTTGTGAACGACTCTATCAACACACTGCTCCATTCCCATCACTCTGACTTGTTGAACTCTGGCTAACACACACATACACATCACTTATTGAAGCCCACTCAACTATACATACACACATACATTAAATGCATAAAACTCTTGAATCTTGAATGAACACACAAAAAAGGTCTATATATAATATATTATTTTTAAAACAGTGTGCTGTAGAGGTTGTGTTTACTGCTGTTCACTTCAGAAATCAACAAAACATGTCATTTGTCAAGGTTTGCTGAAATATTTGCATTCAACTGTACACATGGTGGCGAGGTTTGTTCAAACAGGCCTTCTGCAAATGTAATATCCCTGCCATGCAGGCACCCAGGGCCTTTTCTCGCTATAAACCATATAATCAGTTACTTGGGGCCCCCTAGTGGCTCAGATGGCTTGCTGCTTTGAGAACTCAATGCTTTGTAAACTCATCTTTACCAAATGAACACTGTCCAGAGGGAACACTTACCAAGGTTTTGGCACTCCTTTTCAACAGAGGGTCCAGCTGCTTTGAATATGGCCCCCGAGACACCTGAGAGTATTTAACATGTTTGTCTATTGAGAATCACACTGCATAACATACCAAACACCATCATATGCATTCAAGTTTTTAACATCAATCCATTTCTGTTTCCCAGACTTCATACATATCACAACAAAATTGCTATTCATTTTTTACTAAAGATGAGTTGCACACTGATAAGCCATAATATCAAAACTACATCCTTGTTTCTACACTCATTGTCCATTTACCATATAGGAGCATGTTGTAGTTCTACAATTGCAGACTGTAGTCCATCTGTTTCTCTGCATACTTTGTTAGCCCTTTTTGGGGTCCTTTGGGGGTCCTGACCCTGTTCTTCTATGGTCAGGACCGCCTCAGGACCCCCACAGAGTAGGTATTATTTGGTGTTGGATCATTCTCAGCACTGCAGTGACACTGATGTGTTGGTGGTATGTTAGTGTGTGTTGTGCTGGTACGAGTAGATCAGACACAGCAGTGCTGCTGGAGTTTTTAAACACCTCAGTGTCACTGCTGGACTGAGAATAGTCCACCAACCAAAAATATCCGGCCAACAGCGTCCTGTGGGCAGCGTCCTGTGACCACTGATGAGGGACTAGAGGATGACCAACACAAACTGTGCAGCAGTCTCTGACTTTACATCTGATTTTACATCTACAAGGTGGACCAACACACACTAACATACCACCACAACGTCAGCTCCACTTACTACATAAACTGGACAATGAGTGTAGAAACAAGGTTTTAATGTTATGGCTGATCAGTGTAGAGTAAACTAACCTGCTTTTAAGTCCATTTCTCTGTTGGTTGTGTTCACTATGGCCTGCACTTTTTCATTGGTGATGTTGCCTTTTTTAATCTCAATTCTGACGCCGTTGATATTGGCTATAATTTGGGTTGAAAGTAAGTGTGAGATGAGTTCAGAAAAAATAACAGAAGATTTTTTTTTCTTTGCTTATAAAAACATAACTCAAACCTTGATTTGCATGTGCTGACATGTTTCCTGTAAGAGAGTTCTTGAAAAAGAGAAAAAGGGTTATTGTTTTAAAAGTAAAGAAGTACAAATTCAGTGTATTTGATATAATGTACAGTGCAGAGAAATAATACATAAACAGAAAAACAGGAAACACAATAATTTTCAAAAAAATTCAAAAAATACATTTTTCTATATTTGAGAAAAAATATTCCAAATATAGAAATCCCAGCTTTCCGAGTTTTCCCCATTTTATATATTTCATTAAATTATGATGATGTTAAATGAAAATGAACCTTCTTGCTCCTCTCCTTGAAATAATCACAGAAGTCATTCCAAATGGTCTGATCAAATGTAACCACAATTATCTCTTTAAGACAAGTTGAATTCAACTGAATCAAATGGTTCTCCAGTCCAGTGAAGATGGCTCTGATGGAATTGTATGCTGAAATTCCACCTCGTCCTGTAGAATTGACAGGTTTGTATTATTTTTAACTAACCCAATCCAACTTGTCACTTTAATGGTCATTTAATGGTCATGCCTGTTTGGAACTCTATAGTCCTTAAAGCAGTGGTCTCCAACCCTGGTCCTGGAGATCTACATTCCTGCAGAGTTTAATTCCAACCTGACTCCAATAAGCTGCCCAGCCCCCATCAGGGACTTGGGAAGAGGTCGATAAGCTGGAGTAGGTGTGGCAATAGTAGTTGGAACTAGGCTCTGCAAGGACGTGGCTCTCTAGGACGAGGGTTAGAGATCACTGCCTTAAAGGAAAAGTGCAGCAAAAAATCAATGTACATTTTTTTCCATTTGCTCCAATTGCAGTTGATCAGCCAAGTCAATGGAATTTTGAAATATATCTGTGGAAATAGTTTGAGTGAATATTAACTTCAAGTGTTTGTTAGCAACATCAGCCTAACAGCTCCAGTTCTAAACTAAGGCAAAGCAAAATGAAGACACTACATATGTCTTGGCTGATGACTGCATTTGGTGTACGTGGAAAATAATGTAAATCCAAATATCAAATAAAATAAAGTCAACTATGTGTTTATGCTCTGCAGGACAGGGACTGGTTGTGGTCTCACCTGTCCCGATTGCTGGGATGGCCACTCTGGCAGCCATTTTACTTTCACATAGTTTCAGGACCTTCTCAATGGAGGTTATGATGTCTGCAGCATGAATGGGCCCAAAGATCTGAGCGATGTGCTTACAGGAAAGATTGCCACCGCCTGTTAAGATTACATCATCTGCTCTAGGACCTGGCAAGATTCACACAAGATTAGAGACACTGCTGGACAGAACAAGGCTGAGTCAAAAAAGCCAAAAATCTTAACAATCCGACAAACATTACCAAAGTTATTGTTATTTACAATACAACATTTTAGTCAACAACATTTAGTCAAAACATCTAAAAAAAGGCATGTACAGTTCTAGAACAAATCTTATGGACAGATAAGACAAAGATCAACTTATTCCAAAATGATGGAGTGTATGGAGAATGGAAGGAACTATCAAGTCCATCTGTCAAGCATGGTGCAGGTAGTGTTCTGGCATGGGCATGCGTGGTTATCAATGGAACTGGTTCTCTTGTATTTTTTGATGATGTGAGTGCTGACAAAAGTGTATTGGCCTATATTGTCTGCACACATTCAGCCAAATGCTTCAGAACTCATAGGACGGCGCTTCACATTATGAACAATGACCTAGGGCATATTGAGAAATCAACCCAATATGTTTTTTTAAGGCAAATAAGGGGAATGTTTTATGTTTTATAAAAGCCAGGTCAAACGTCTGAGCTCAATCCAATCAAGTATGCATTTTACTTACTGAAGGCAAAACTGAAGGTAAAACACCTCAAGAACAAGCAGGAACTGAAGACAGCTGTAGTAAAGGCCTGGAATCACCAGGAATACACCAAGTGATACACCAGGAGTATCACCAGGAAAAAAACCCAGCATCTGGTAATGTCTATGGGTAACAGACTTAAGGCAGCAATTGACTGCAAAGAATCTGTGTCCAAGTATTAAATATAACAATTTAAGATTATGTTAGTTTATCCAATTACCTTTGAGCACCAAAAACTGGGTGGGCTCTGTATGAACCAGCCCTGCTGGTGACATCCCGTTAATTAATGCGTGGGAATGAGATCCTAATGTGTGGCCATGACGTAGTAAGGCGTGGGAATGAGATAATTAAGTCGTGGCCACGACTTAGTAAGGCATGGGAACAAGATCATGCCTTGTTAAGCTGTGGTCAAGGCTTAATTATGTCATTCCCATGCCTTACTAAGTCGCAGCCACGACTTCATTATCTCGTTCCCACGCCTTACTAAGTTGTGGCCTACTTTTATTTATATGAGATGTCACCAGCAGGGCTCCATAGATTTGGATGTAAATAACCCCCAAATTAAAGCTGAAAGTCTGCACTTTGAACTCATACTCTTGATCTAATTTCAGCTCCAAGATTCCATGACAGCTAAAATAATAATAACTTTGTCAACATCCACGGTACACTTTGAAAGTTCACTTATGTTATTACATTTCTGGAACAGCAAATAATAAAGTAGCTTCAGCAGTAGGCATCATAAGCTCCGCCCACTGTTATTGTTTCATTTCAGATTTCCACAACCTGTATTTTGTGCACTTAGTGTCATCTCAACTGAATCACCGCTACCTCATCAAAGTTGGACTGGTTTAAAATGGCTTGATATTTGGAACAAAAAACAAGGAAAACCTTAATTATTCTTGAATAATTAAGAACCTACATCACTTGAACACAGCAGCTGTTGTTTACATTATGTGAACATTTCATGATGAATGGACCTGTAGAAAAAATACTTGTAATAAAATCTCTTTAAATCAACTTGTATTAAAAGTTAAGAATGTTGTGACCTTCTCTTGTAAAGCGGAGGCAGCGATGATATTCTCCACGAAGCACAATGAGTGTTAGAAGTACATAACCATATAAATAAAAATAGGAATTACCATTCCTTCTGTATTCATCCACAATGGATTTCCCTGCTGCTCTGAAGATTGCTCCAGAAACCCCTATTAAACAAAAGCAATAGACGTTGCAAGCATGCAGCAATACTGCTTTGCCAGATATGAAACTATTAAAAAGGATAGTTTAGGGCTACAAATTCCTTGAATTGAAACTTTAAAGTTCAGAGGTGAATCAAAGTCCATTACTCATCAATGAACCATAAATCTAATAAGTCAATCAATTAAAGTGGGTAAACTGAGCAGCATCGTGGCTGTTTGAAAAATACTGCTATATATAATCTCTCCATATTTTGTAATACTTTAATGTGTTAAGTTTGTGGTTTTGCAATTTCTACTGTTAAAACAACTTACCCAGGTGCACATTTAAATCTCTGTTGTTGGAATTGACGATAACATCCACAGTCTCTTTGGTGATGTCTCCTTTTTTGAGAGATACTAGCACTCCATGAACAATCACTGTAAATGACACGTTTAAGCTTAGCACTGTTGGGGAAAGGCACTAAACTTTAAAACTGAAATTCATTCTATAGCAAGATAACGACCCCAAGCACACTGCTGAGATTAAGGCCCAGTCCCATTTTACCCCCTGCCCCTACCACTTAGCCCTTACCCCTCTGTTTTGCGCGTTCACGCCTAGCGGTAGGGTGTACTGATTTTTGTTGAGATAGAGGGGAAGGACAAAGTGTTAGGGCTACATGGCCCTCCAAACAGAGGTTTTTCAGAGTCACATTCCAAACAGAGTGTTATGAGAAAAAAAGAAAAACCGGCAAGTTGACTGCACAAGCGACCAAAGAAACCCACGAATGTGTGAATATTCTCTGTTAAAAAATTATGATAACCATTGTATTGTCTTAGTTTAATGTCTTTTTAATGTATTATGGTCCTTTTCTTCAAAACAATGATAAAAAAGCACTAGCAGTATGTTAACGTAACTTCTATATATATCTATATCTAACTTCAGCTTCATATCACCAAAGAATTGGGGGTGGGTGATAATAAACAATAGTCATATCCCCCCTCTTTGAAGGCATATGATGCCCTAAATGTAACTAAAGCCCAGCAGTGAGGCTGCTGAACTTTACCCTCCTCTGCTATCACTGCAGACTGGCAGAGTCGCCTACAGAGCAGCACTAGTAGCCTGTTAATGTTCTTTTTATTTGAGGTTTGTCCTGTTTCATAGGGGAAGATTTCAGTCACTACCCCTTGTAACTCAGTTCAAAGGGGCAAGGTCACACTCAAAAACAAGAGGTAGGGGTAAAAATTAGAAATGGGATTGGGTCCTAAGACCTAATTATCAGTTCTCAGAACAATGGACTGACCACCCCAGCATCCAGACCTCAACATCACTGAATGTGTTTGGGATTACTTGGATTATCTAACTTTGAAGGTGTGGAAAAATATCCCTGCAGATTTCTTTGAGAAACTGAAACCAAGTCTCCTGAAAAGAATACAAGCTGTAATAAAGACAAAGGCTGGGCACACTAAGTACTGGAAAAATGAATATAATTAAAAGTTATATTATATTAAGTTGTCAAGGCTTTCATGTAATTTTCTGTTAAATATGTTATAGCATATAGGTGAAGAACAACCAGAGGGAAACAATGTGTATGTGAGCCAATGCTCTTTTATTGAACAGGCAACGAAGTAGAACTGCTATCCAAGCAGCCAGGATAGTGGGCAGATCACTACCAGCACAGACAAGCACCAATAACACGTGCACATCTTAGACTGAACAACAACAACATGAATATTAAATGTCTCTCCTTATGAGGAGCATGGTGCCTCCTGAGAGCCTCTTCACATGGCCAGTTTGCATAGCTACACTTCCTGTGCTCCTACAACAACAATGATAATATTGTGGCATCTTGCCACTGGCCACACTGCTGTAGGAGTGTGGGAAGCATGGCCATGCAAAGTGGCCATGCAAAGTGGCAATGCGAAGCGCTGCGCTCCCTGTAAATAATGTTATTGCTGTTCAGTTTGAGATGTGTTTGTGTGTTGTTTGTTCTTTATTATTTTGGGCTGTGGAAACAGGTATGGCTGGAAGTGACCTGCCTGCTATCCCGCTGTATTCAGTAACGTGGTGGTTTTCTCTTGCTGCCGGTTCAATAAAAGAGCATTTGCCCACATGTGCAGTGTTTCCCTTCATTTCTTATTAACCTAGACTCTACAATATGTTTTCTCCTTTTTCCTGATGAAGGTACTTAATGGTCATTTTCACTGGAAATTAAATAAATTAAATAGTGGTCACTGACTTTTACACAGTACTAAACATAAACAGTCCATCTTCCATTACACCCCATGTTAGGTTGTGCCCCTAGCATACATAATTGCAAGAAATTACCTGATGTGTCTAATTTGCGTTTCAGATCTTGCATGGTGGCTTGAGAAAGAAAGGTTGTTGGGCAAGTAGGTGTGATTTCATTAGGAAACCCCTAGTAGGACAGAACAGTAAATGGCAGAAAAAATGTGAGTACTCTTTTTCAAAATTTTGTTTAATATTTAATTTAATGCATTGGTCAGAAACCTGCATGACTGGATTACCAAGAGTTAAAGAAAAAGAAACCTACCAGTTCCTCTACAAGGATGTTGAATTCCTCCACTATTTTCATGTCAGAGTCTACCACGTATATGTCCTTCACATTCTTCGGGGTGTTTTGATCATCACTGATGAATTGCAGAATTGCTTCTCTGATTGCCTTAGAACTTTCTTTCAAGGAAAATCCAAAAGGCCCACAGCCAAGTACAGGCATTGCTACAGAAGCACTACTGCTTTGTTCTGCTTTATGGAGACTGTCGACTATGGCTGATTTCAAGTAGTGAGGGCCCAGGGTTTGGGAGCTTTGAGGCAACACAGCATAAATGAGTGTTTTGGTACTGAGATTGCCTGGGTTACTAAGAACTACATCTCCAGCAAGTAACCTTGTTTTGTCCTTTTGAAGCTTATTGAACACCTCTTGAATCTGAGGACTTCCCATTTCAAGGAAGTGCTGGGCAGTAGGGTTGTCAAAAGCCAGGTTTGTACACAGTGGACAAATCAATGTATCAACAGTGTACTGATGCAAGTCACCCTCAGAAACTGTTAAAGTGGTACAGCTGTTTATTTTATGTTTGAAAGTCTTTGCAGGACCAACTTTGCTCAGTTGCTCAAAGTACAGTGTGCAATTCCACCCCTTGGCTTTAGCCTTAACATTGGCTTCATTCTTCTCAAGGACCTTTGACTCACCTGATCTAGAATAAATCAGCTTCTCCATTACAATTGATGATAGTTGCTTCCTTACCACTGTGATAGCATCTTGGATCTTGTCCTCTGCTGTTGTAACATTCAGACAAGGTGTACTCAGAGTGTCACAAGCATATTCCAAGCTTATCCCAAGGTTTCTAATTTCTGGATTTTCTGACAAGTTCATGAAAGACTTGATGAACTCCATTTCTCGCTCAGATTTGAGAGGGATTTTTTCTACTGAGTTCCTCTGAATCACAGTCATAATGGTTTTTCTATCCATGACTAAATGTGCACTTGTTCCCTTCACAAGGTTCTTGATCTTGTCTAAGAGGACACTGACCACCTCCATAAGGCCAACTATTACAATCTTAGAGTCAGTTTGCTCAAAAAAGATATCAACCTCAGGAGTGATGAGTGTAAGACAAGTGCTTTCCACACTTTTCCACACTTTGAGCTCAACTGCTAACTCAGCTGCACTGTACTTCGTAAGAAATTCTTGGGCTGCCTTTCTTGCCTTGTTCTCCCAAGTTGGTCCAATTTGCAATGCAGCCAAAGACTCTTTGTCCACTGTCATCTCCACAACTAACTTTCTTGGAAATGTGGTCTTGTCTAAAAGGACCTTGGCATGAACCATCTTGAGTTGACTCTGTAGGTCATTTTTGCACTGTTCATTGTTTTCAATGAAATGGAGAACCTTCACATCAACAGGAATGGTGATGTTTGTTTGAACCTCAGACAATGTAGGTGTTTCACCAGTCAGAGCCTTCTGGAGACTTGAGTAAAACAAAAGCACAGTAAGTTCTTCACCACAAAGATGGTGCCTCTGATCCAACACTCGATAAGCAGCTAGGAAAAGAGAATTACAGGTTACATGTTCTCTCTGAATCTAGCATTTCACATGAAAATTTGCTTTCCTATTACTAAATTTTGTGTTCATAACTTTCATCAGCACATTCACCCACACACACATTAACCCTGAGACAACTTTTTGATGGTTATGAAGAAAGTAGTCACTAACACTTTTTCAGTCTGTTGTTATGCCCTGTTTCCCACAATTTATTCCCAGTGTCATTCATAGCTAATAAACAATGCACTAAAACTACCAAGATCTGGAGATGTGTGCCAACAACACCAAGCCAATCAATACATTTTTTCCAGTTGTACATATGTGACCAAGAGCAAGGACTGACAAGAGTAACTACACCATTCTTCTGACAGGATGAGAGTATGATCTACTGCCTACTGTATGCCATTGCAGGTCTACATGGAACAAGCAGACATGGAACAGCAGAAAATTCCATGTGCTTTGAGGTGAATCTGTCTAACATTCATTTTGCGAGTTCGGACCATGCCTACAACATGTGGGGGTAGAATGAGAGAAGACTCATTGAGGGAGGGGAGAGACCTCTGAGAACTTGGGCTGCAGTTCTGGGCGGCTTCTGCCTGGAGCTAGAAGGCTGGACCCCCTTCTTATAACTGCAGTAGGACTGATAAAGGACTGAGGAACAGGGAGGAGATGTGGTGGTGGTGTGGATGCGAAAACTTTGTCACGGGAAACAGAAGGTAGAAATGGAAATTTATAGGGTGTTTAGACTGGAAGGAGGTAAGGTAACAGGTAGAGATGGAAGGATCGGTTGGCTATGTACCAGTATTAGCTGATTTACAGCCCAAATATGTGACTGGTGATTGGTCAATATTTCTCTAACTTAGCCGACCCTGAGAGGTGGAAAGCTTTGAAGATTTGTTTCTGTTCACACATTAGCATCCATGCACTAAGCTTAGCCAACACTGCACTAGCTCTATGACCTACGACTTTGGCAGGAGCTGAAAATTAAAATGCGACACAGAACTACAAAAGCAATCGCATACCAGCCTTTTTTATCATATATTTAAAAAACCATCCATTAAGCAGGAGGACTGTTTCGTCCCGTTAGCTGGGCCAGTTCCGTAGGTTCCAGTTTTTCAATGGTTATACTAGCCTGAGGCACCAGAATGTAACTGCTGTACCGTTTAAGATGTAACATGAAAATTCAAATGATAAGTTGGCGAAAAGGAAACTTCAGCTTCACCGAGAGCAGAAAGGCATTAAAAGGGATGAGGAGGTTGCTCTGTTTCTGTGTCACAGGTGGATAACGTTCACTTATTTTTGCTGTTTCACAGAACCAGTGGGACAGTATTGATTTGTCCTATTTGCTAATTTTACCAATTTTATTACTCTGCACTACTACTCTTTACTACTCACTGGTTTGCTTTGGAGCAGCAATTGTAATGACAAATTGCCAACCAACTTAACTAATGTTAGTTATATTACTTGTTTCGCTCTAATGTCACATCATGACATTTGTCCTTGCAACATTTGCGAAGGGTTTTATGGCCACGAAGAGTTAAAAAAGTGTCGACTGCCTTGGCAATGCATGTCCATGATTTTGGGGTTGGGGCCTCTGACAGAGCAATGAAGAGAAGAGTGTATTTGTTTTGCTGTTGAGTTTAAACATCAACAGTGTTTCTCCAGAATTTCTTACTGCACTTTTAAATGTGGCATCCAGTCCTGCCCTTAATAGTTACCAGCTGGTCGTATTGAAAGACGGTCTGTGATCAGTATCAGCCCCAATATCACTAATTTGTCAACCTCTAGTTTCAGGCATGGTCCTGCTCCCAAACTTCAGTTATTTCATAACTCATTCTAAAACCAAAGGCAACATTCAAACTGCAGGTAAAAGTGGCCCAGATTTGATTTACTGTCCAAATCTGTTTTGGTTGTTTCATCATTTATACTCATCTTTTCAGTGCGAACTATATCTGACATCAGTCTGAACAGATCATGCTCCTGAACTGACCCACTTATGCAAAAGACAAGCAGTCCACCCAGCTCATCCAGCAAACACAACTGTCCTCGACCTTTCTTTAAGATTAGCAGACTTCTTCCACACAACTTCAAAATGAGCTATGTGAAATGCATTGGATTACAGTACCTTTAATGAAAGCGGTCCAAATTGCAGGGTACTGGTTTAGGCCCCTCTACCCACCTCTGAACTTTATCATGAACAGTGTCAGTGTTTGTTTTGATGCTGCTTCAGTAGCTGCAGCCTCAGATAGCAATATTTCTTAGCTAACATCTCTGAAGAACTTCAGGCTGTTTTCATGCCCAGTTCATTCTCTAAAGACCGCACCACAGATTGTTTTTCTGATGTTTTATCTTTATTTTTATCTTTGGTTTGGATGGTGCACTGCAAGGACTAAAGTGGTCTAAATTACTCACATGTGTGTTTGTTTATTGATCAGAGGTTTTGCAGGGATGCTCTGCTACTCTCACATTCACCACCATGAAAACAGAAAAACAGAAAATAGAGATGCTTATCATCAATGTGTATACAAATTTAAAGTTAACCGATCAAGTCGTTGATGCTTGGCCAAAGATTTGCTCCATAATCCATGATCAATTATTATTTTATTGCTGGTGTTTTGTTATGTGCAGCAGCTTGCAGTGCAGGAATGATAGAGTGTTTGTAAAGAGTGAAATGTTAAAGCTGCAGACAGTACAGCAAAAATGTACACTGGAAAAAACATGCTCTGGTGTTGAATTCTCTCGTGAATTAGCATTGCTCTGTTGTTTGGTGCTGCCTGAATACGGGTGGAATCGCCAAACTAAAGAAAAAGTTTAACAGTCTGCACCATCCAAGGCAGGTCTGAAAGTGCCTCCCAGCTGAAAGGGAGATTCTGATTGGCTCTGCTGCTCAGTTTTACTCTGTCTGTTCGTGCCAATCAGTGCTTAGTGCAGTTTAGGGAAAGAGGAGGTTTGAACTCAAAAAGTGGTAGGGGAATCCCCCCAGTACTTTGAAAAGGGGCGGGTCAAATGCCTGCTCCCCAACGTGGCTCCGATAGCCCTGCCAAACTGAAACTGTCAGATTGAAATTTTTTTGTGCCTCATAGAAGAAAACCACTTCTACCTGCAGTGTGAACATAACCTTAAAGTCAGTTATAAGCTCTACCAAACTTTCTCACACACTGCTGCTCTGTCGGAATTGTCAAAAATCAAATAATCAAGTGCATAATCAGCTGGGAAACAGCTGTGTATGGACAATGATATGCTATTAACTAGGATTAGAGACAAATGAAAACCAACCATGATAGTCTTTAAAGGTTATAACCACACTGTTCTGGCTAATGATCCAGACTAAAGATTTTATATCTCCTCCTCCACTTTTCATTTTGTTGCCGAAATGTCCAGTAAGGAGGTCTTCTTTAATTCTGCCCATGTCCCCCTGGACCAGGACGGAATCTGTTAGCTCCAAATGAGAGGCTCTAATGTCCATTCCCTGCGGCTTCTTGGTGGTACATTTAAACAGGAAATTGTTGACGTCTAGAAACATGATACTGATTATCAACAGAGTTTCTTTTTTATCTAATCAGTCAGACACCTAAAATAAGAAAGTTATTGCAAGGACCAACACCTACTTTCACAGTTTAACTGTACAGTTGAGGCTTTATCTTCACATTATCGTCAATGTAGAACATGTCACATCCTTCTTTGAAGAATCAAAGATGTTTTCTGAAAAATAAAACTCCTGCACTCGTCTATTCTAACTCACCAATGTCTTCTTTGAAGGTGACCGCGATCCTGTCTTCATCCAGAAGCTCCCAGGTATGTTCTGCTTTTTTACTACAGCTGCTAATGAACAAAGTAACTATTTTGTATTTGCAGACATCTTTGAACCCGGTTAAGATGAAGCGATGGGGGTCCCACTTTTCTGCCACATTTTCTTCTTTATAGGCCTCCACTGAAAAGCCAAAGTCATGTTCCTTCACAGCAAGAATTTTCAAAAAATCTAGAAAGTGATGCAGAATTGTTGTGTAAGTAGAATAATGGAAAATGTTGATGTTTTTAAAATTCATAATGGAAAAAGCAACCAAGATTTTGTTAGTATTAGAAGAACAAAAAATCCCTTCCTTGATTTTAGGGATTGACTCAAAAGAAGTCTAAGGTTGCAAAAACTACAGAAAGAAGCAAATTCCTGAGTAAGGCTAGTCTGGTCATGCTAGTCTACACCTATTTGGTCTTGTAGTAGGCTCTAGTCCTCGAGGGCCAAAGCAAAGTATTTGTTTTTTTTCCTGATTTAAAGGTGCATTAGGTTTTGTTTTTTGTTTTCTTTTCTTATAGAACCCAAAAATAACCTGGAAAATATGTAGAACATGACTTTAAAGCACTGTTTTAGCAATGGTATCACCACAAGAGTATTACATGCCTGAAAGACCCTGTTTGGAAAACTGCAGTATGGAACAGGGGGCTTGTCTGTGTTCACACTGACCTCCTGTCAGTTATATTATTAGACACTCCTCTACACTGCACTACTCTGCCCCATTTTTTTGTAGGGTAGAGTAGTGTGGCAGAATCTGGTAAGCGAGCTGTGCCACCAGGTTCTAGTACTATAGGGGAGAGAAAACTCAAACACTTAACAGTCACGAAGCTGAAGTCAGTTGCTCTTTTGTCAGCTTCTCGTTCGAATTTTTCTGTTCCACCTTAAATGGCACAGCAGTAGTAGCTACATTCTGCCACATCCGGCGCCATTTAAGGTGGAACGGGAAAATTCGAACAAGAAGCTGGCAAATGAGAAGCTGACTTTAGCCTTGTAAAACGTAAAAGTCTGTGTTTTTGTTTGTATTATATTTTTAGCCTGTACTAGTACATCAGCACATACTGAGACATATTTACAGCCAAGATGGTATAACCGACATAAAGTCTTGTGGCTCCCAAGGTGATTTCATTTTTCTTGACAGGATAAAATGGCTCTTCTTAACATTTCGGTTGCCGACCCCTGGGTTAAGGCTACTAGTAAGGGGTGATCAGCGTGTGGGGCCAGCGCATGACCGTTTGCTCGAACTGTCCGCAGCTCAGTCAAGATTGTACATTCGCCACTAACCCAGTTAATGACCACATTCTATGGATCAAATTTTGCATGGATTGCCTGAAGCCTGTAGTGAAATTGTAGTGAAAATTTGTAGGTGCTACAGCTATTAGCTACATTTCATCAAACTGTAGCGGCTACAGCTATTACCTAAAGACGACAAAACTTGTCAGAGTTGATTCCAAAGAAAAACAGGACAGTAAAGGCAGTCTTGACTATTCTTGCAACAGTAAATGTTCATGAACTCAGTGCCCCCCCCTCGACAAAGTAAACAGGACGAAGTTGTCATTCTCCGCCTTCTCATTCGAATTTTGCATGGTACAGCACACTATAGCCACAGTATTCACTGTCATTAACATCTTGTTAAATTGTTTTAGCTAAGACTGTGGCCTTGGTAATGCTGGCAAACTCTAAAGGCATTTTCACACTTGTCCCGATTACACACCCAGGGCTGATTCTGGGCTCGTTTGGAGGAGGGGCTCATTATCACTAGTTTGCAAAAAGGTAGACATGGGCTTCATCTGTTTGCTGCATTTCATTATTTTCCTTGGACACAAACACTCAAGTGGCGAAGAACAGTGTTTTTGGATACGTGGCCTTTTACCATACAGGAGCACCTGCGAACAAGGAGCCATTCTCGTTTGTGACACATTTAGCCATGCAGACAATCACAAAAACTTGAAAAAAGAAGTGACGCAATAGGTCAAAGCAGTCACATTACAAAATGAACCAATCACGCCATCCCACACTTGGCAGCACTGAGAGTGGATAGCTGCAACATACGCAATGGACGACACCAGAGTTTGCTGGAAGCGAACCCCAGACCAGTGATTACAGGAGGTTACGACCTCTGGTCATAATATACCTCTTTGTGTGCCTTGTGCTGGCATTCTGTGTGTTTTCCCTGTTGTGTGTCCTCTTATGTGCAGGTACATAATTGGCCACATGGGGGTGCACTGATGTATAAGAGGTTGCCAAGGCACCATCTTGCAAGACGTTCAGGGCTCTCTCCCCCAGAGAACTTGGAGAGAGGAGAATTATCACTCCATAATGTCTTCCGGGTTTCTCAAACACTAGAGGGCACTCCTGAGTGAGTCTAAAACTAATGGGTTAAGATGGAGCATTTGAGCAAAATCATAGTTTATAAATACTTAAACATTTTATTGTAAAAGAATATAATCATTTCCTGAACACTGAATAGCATAAAACATTTTAACACTGCTGTTATATTTTTAAGAGCTTTTAAACTCGAATTATAGGAGTTTAAAATGGCGCCTCAAGTATGTCACATCTGTGAGTGCGGACAGCCAATGAGCAGCACCTTCTGCTGCCCAAAGCCTGTTTGCTGTAGAAAAAAGGAAATATATAGATATGTTTTCTTTGCTTTTTTAGTGAAATACATCCTTCTACTTTCTAAAATTAAAGGAAAGTTCTGGGCAAGTGATTAAAAACTATTCTAACTTTTCATTTTTAGCCATTGAACTCCTTTTACTCCCATTCATTGAGGACTCACTCACAGGCGCCCTCTGCTGTTTTGCAGTCCTGTTTTTGGGAAAACGAGGGAAATAGGAAGTGGCCAGGCTCCTTATAAACCGGCTCTTTCTCTCTCCTTGGACATGACCTGGAAGAACACTTGTTCAGACCAGCCTGGCACTCTTCACAACACTCTTTGCTTCGCTTGGCTTTATTTGTGAAGTTCATGAAAGCTCTGTTAGACTCTCTGTAAACACATTTGGAAAGTAGGGGATGAGTGCCATTTTGTTTTGGTTACCGTTTCTCTGGTTTTCAAACAGGGAGATGAGGTAGCCATTTATATTTTTGTTTCGTTTTGTTTTCAGGTTCAGTTAGATTTGTAATCATTAGTTGTTTTATTTGTTATTTTGGCACACGCTCGTCCCTGAAGCCATCCCCCATCTTGTGTTTGAGATTTTGAAGAAAATAAACCTGACATTTTCTGGTTTCAGTGGTGTTCAGTGTCTCGTCTGGCAGCAGGTCTGGAGAGAGAGCCCACTCTCATTTTCTATTACAGCCTGACCCTAGACCGGGTCGTAACACAGGAAGACCAGAGAACGGTTCCCTAGACTGCTCCTGAGCCCAAACGTGTTGAACTCACAGAACGAGCAGTCCTGTGTCTGGAAAAAACTTTATGAGCAGGAATGGGAGGCAGATCTAAAGAGTAAAACGATCCTTCCAGTGTTGTTGTAGTTTGCTTAACCGGTAGATGTTCAGTTTCTTTAGCTGATGCACCTTTAAAACACCCGATTAATCCCAATTATCACTCACTTATCAAACCACTGACGAGTTGAATAAGGTGGGACAATTGAAAAAACATCTGAGCTGCATCATCCCATCAACCTGTGCATTCATGAACTGACCGCACCTGTGTTCACTGTCACTCTTCTGTTATGAGAATGGATTTATGAGTGTTACAAATAAATATATGTATTGTGTGTAGCTTTCCTACACAATCAGGTCTTGAGAGCGTATTCCCTTCAAACAAAATAAGACATGTTACCTGAGTGGTTGGCCAGGTTTAGGATCCAGCTGTTTTCTCCATGTTTTATTACTTCAATCTGCTCTGAGAACTGTTCAAAATAGAGAGTAAGTATGTCTTCATCAACAGAATCACTGCTGCTGACCAGCAGGCTTCGACTTCTGTGGTCTGTGTCAGTCTCTAACACAGAAAATATGACAATGTCACATATTTTGATGATAGACTTCTTAGCACAGGAATGTAAGTAGCATATTTTTATAGTTTTAAAGAAAACAGCTGCAAAGAATAATTACCTCTGGGACCTTCATTCTTTTTTGCCGCAGAATAAATGGGACAAAAGAAGAGATTTGTAAGTGACATTGAACTGAGCTAACTGAGCAAGATTTGGACTACAGTTCTACAATTACAGACTATAGTCCGTCTGTTTCTCTGCATACTTCGTTAGCCCCCCTGTTCTTTAGTGGTCAAGACCCCCATAGAACCACCACGCAGCAGGTATTATTTGGGTGGTGGATCATTCTCAGCACTGCAGTAACACTGACGTGGTGGTGGTGTGTTAGTGTGTGTTGCGCTGGTACGAGTGGATCAGGCACAGCAGTGCTGCTGGAGTTCTGGAACACCTCAGTGTCACTGCTGGACTGAGAAGAAAACAAGAAATACAATGACACAGTACTGAACCCAAACTGGACTGAAAAATGAATGCAAAAGTCACCTGACTAGCAGGAGTTTGCACCACTTCCACTTTACGTCTAGGTCGTACAGGAGGTTTCAGCTTCTTAGCCAGAACATCTTCATCCAGCTGCAGTTTTACTGTTAACTCAGCCACTCCCAAATCTCTGAAATCAAGCTGATGAACTCTAGCGAGCACATTCTGTACATCTGTGAGTTAAAAGGCCATGAACAAACCATTTCAACATTTAAGTTAGTAAGACTTACGAAGAAATGAAAAACTGAATGGAACACCACAAACTGTTGACCTTGATAAGTGTATTTAACTTTAAAACACTGAGGTAACTCATTGCCCTGAAAAATAAGTTTTTGTATAACTTTTGGTATCATGAGAACAATATGAGGGCAGCAGGGTGGCGCAGTCGCCTCACAGCAAGAAGGGGCTGGGTTTGATTCCCCGGCCAGGTGACCAGGGTCCTTTCTGTGCAGTTTGCATGTTCTCCCTGTGTCTGTGTGGGTTTCCTCCCATAATCCAAAGACATGCAGTCAGGCCAACTGGAGATGTCAAATTGCCCCTAGGTGTGATTTTGTGTGTGAATGTATATGTTTGTGTGTCTACCCTGTGATGGACTGGCAACCTCTCCAGGGTGTTTCCTGCCTTCTGCCCAATGACCACTGGGATATGCTCCAGCACCCACCATGACCCAATAAGCAACTTAGATTGTGTGTGTGTGTGTGAGAACAATATGGTTGCCAATTGAGTTGCTAATTGAAACTAGTGGAGTAATACAATGTGTTGCGGGGGGATTAATATGGAGCACCCAGCACCCTTTGTGGCCACAACAGCCTCCACTCTTCTGGGAAGGCTTTTCACAAGATTTTGCAGTGTGTCTGTGAGAATCTGGGCTCATTCAGTCGTAAAAAAGCATTTGTGAGGTCAGGCACTGATGTTGGACGAGAAGGCCTGGTTCTCAATCAATGTTCCAGTTCATCCCCAAGGTGTGTCAGGGCTCTGTGCAGGCCATTGGAGTTCCTCCACACCAAACTCATGTCTTTATGGAGCTTGCTTTGTGCACAGGGACACAGTCATGCTGGAACAGAAAAGGGTCTTCCCCAAACTGCAACTTACAACACACAAGTGATACGTAAAAAATGCAAATAGGTGAAAAAGAAAAACGAGAGAAAGAGCTGCAAATGCAAATAGGTGGAAAAAACAGAGTGGGGGAAAGAGGCACAAATGCAAATAGGTGGAAAAAGTAGAATAAGGGAAAGAGACACAAATGCAAATAAGTGGAGCCAGCGGGAAGGATTGCAGCACGGTTGCATTGACCAAACAAACATTTATTAGATAAATCCGACGAGGAATTATATTTCATTGAAACAACACAGACTTAGTTTTGCTTAGTTGCATGCAGTTTTTGGGCAACATCACCGAGAGAGAAGTGCTTAAAACCAACAACAGTGAAGTTTCATTTTTTTGAGTGTGGCAGTTTAAGCTGTCTTGGCCCAGTCTCTCTTGCTGCCAATGGCAACAGACTAAACGAAACTGTAATAATTGTATGAAATCATCAAAAAATTTTAATTTAATTTAATAATTTTATGTAAAAATAGACCTAATTTATTTGGGTTTTGAGAGGCTTGAGGTTGCATTTGATGTACTGAACCAGCCTTGCCTGACATGTGTTAATAAGTCATAGTCATGAATTTATGAACCCCTTATATTTTCAGAATTTAAATGGATGCATATTGAAGACCTACTTTTGTAATATGGAATACTCCACATAACAAGAAACAGGGGTTTAATTTTGGGTATTAATTTAAGTTTTCAATTTTAAGGATACCCATACAAAACAATAATACAAAAACACACATACACACTTGCAATTTGCAGACATTCTATATGCTTTCTTGAGCATATAGTGGATATCACCAGCACATAAAACTTCATTCCCAATGCATGTTTGATTAAAAAGAGAGCATAATTAGTCCTGTTTAATTGGATTTAGTGCAGCAGTTTGTGAAATGTTGAATAAAAGTAGTTGGATTTATAATTTAGATGGTAAACAAAGGTTTTGTGGCTTGTAATGACAGTAGAACCCTTTTTGGTGCCATTCTTAAAGGATTCTTTTAAGCTTGCTTTCTAAAACTGGTCCCAAGGGCCCAAATAACAATGCATTCATGCATTCTAATGGTTCTTTGCACTTTTAGCAAAAAGGGTTCTATATAGTACCAAAAAGCTGAACCCTATAGTGCTATATAGAACCATTTTTAAAGATTTAACAGGTGTTTTATTTTAAAGAAGAACTATTTATGCATTCAAATAGTTTTCCAAGTTCCTGTATACAACCATTATCTTTAGTGAAGAACCCTTGAAGAACCCCCGTGTTTAATGGTGCAGGTATCAGGTCTTACCTCCCTCACTCAGGTAAACAAGCAGAGCTTTCCGTTTGTCCTCTGGATGCTCCTGTATCCGCGCTGCCTCTCCTCCAGACCTCTTCTTATTTTTGAAATACAACTCTAACTTCGGTATCACACAGTCCAGATCGTCTGGAAGACCCTCTAGCAGCAACTTCTTCTCAGCCATGATGGACGTTTTCCATGAGAGAAGTGAAGTCTGACTGAGAACTTTGTAGAGACATGTCCAGCTTTGTTTTGTCCTGCCTGTATTCCGGAAAATCCCACTTCCTGTGCTGGAATTGGCCGGCTGCTGTCCTAGGATTGGCTAAGGAAGGTCAAGCCTTTTTTATTTGCTGCACTTATTGCAAAGAGAAGTGTGCACTTATCAGAAACAACACTCATATTTATTTAATACAAAAAAGTCATAGCCAATATTTTAGGGGACAAAAAACACTCATAGTATTTCAATAAATTTGTTGTTTTTGACAGTTTTAATGAGTCTAAAAGATTTAAAAGTGACTCTGCTGATAAATGTATAAATAAGCAGGTATTTGCTGGTTAAAGCAGGTCTGATGCTGGCTTAGCTGGTCATCCAGCAGGAACATGCTGGTTGACTAGAATATCAGCATCTGAAACACCCAAGCTGGTTTTGCTGGTAATTAGCCTACCAATTTCCACTGATGCTGACCAGCACACCAGCATCCACAACACAACATATTGTCACTGTAGGAATAAAACCTTGTGGTCTCCATTTCTGATGTTTTTCATTTTTAAATATGAAATGATGTTTTATGATGAACAGATCAAAAGAACTGGTCTAAAATGGCATAGAATAAAATTTTGTTCTGTTAACTTACACTGAAAGATAAGAATGATTTCTCCCTCTCTTGTAAACTTTCTTTTTTGGAGATATGAGGCTTTGTTCTGACAGTGATGATATGCTATTTTTCTAGCTGGGGAATTGAACTTATTTCTCAAAACATCTGCATAATTTAACGTTTGAGATGTAAACAGTCATTCAGAGTGGTTTGATGTGAAATGGTTCATTGTAAAGACAGATTTCTTTCCAGTGGTGGTGATGGGAATCAGGGGCCGCCATGTCTTCAACACAAATAGAGCAATTTTATTTACTGTCCAAAACCAACAGAGGACCTAGCATTCGTTAGATTTTGTGAAGATGAAATTTTGTGAGGAACTCTGACCAAGTGAAATGTGTTTTTGAGAGACAAGCCCCATGGATGGCCCAATAAATAAAAAAACATAAAAATCTCTACTCTGAGCAACCCTGGAAATGTGTTTATTTCTATTGCTATTAATGTGCAACATCCTACTGTATTCATCATAATTTCTGTGTTTCCTGATATTTTCTTTCAAGCCAAACCAGGTCATAATGCAAAAACAGCAGTAGTCTCACACACATGGAAGCTAACATTCCATTTAAGTGGCAACAATAATATCCCATTCAATAATAACTGAAACAGAAAATGTGCCTAAAATGTTTTTTTTTTTTCATTTAATTAGTGATTTGCACAAATTCAATTGCTGCTGATTCTTCTACCTTTCATGTCTGCAGTAGTCAGTCCCAAGTATATGAGCCACCTCTGACCTTGTGGGGCCCTCAAGGCCCCTGGCAGTCAAAGGCCCCTAGCAGGCTGGTAGGTAATCCATCCCGGGCCCCATGGTGGGATTTCCCAAAGCAGGATTTCTCAGTTTCTCAATGTCCTTCATCTCTCCTCCTGTTGTAAATGTTTGACTTTTGGCTTAAGTTGGCTTCATCTGGCTAACTGACAAACGCCGTATGAAATCTGCCTTTGCTTTACACACAGGTACCTGATATTTTCAGTCCATAGCATCAGACATTTATATTTAAAGTCATATAATTACACCTTTTTAATCACTAAAAAAACAGTGTTCTCAAATAGAAGCCTGTGTGTTCCTGCAACTGATACCAGCCTGAGCAAGTTACTCATATCGCTGCTGTGGGACGAAAACCTTGTATCTCAATTGTTGTTGTTTTTCAGTTTTTTAAATAATTTTAAAATGCCTGTTGCCCTTTACATTGTGTGTAAATTTCATACAGGAATGGTCCAAAATGACTTGGGGAAATAGTCTGGTTCCATTGACTTGCATTAAAAGTAAAAGTGGTTTTTTTCCTTCTCCTGTAAAGATACCATTTTGGAGACAAGGTTTTCTCCCGAGAACAGCGATATGCTGTTTGGACTGGGAGTGAAAGCGAATGCAAGCTATGCAAGTCAAAATTGGTGCCTGGAAAGATTTGTGAGTTTCAGAAGTGAACAAATAAAGACACAATGCAGGTATCATTTTTGTTCCACATAAATGTATTGTTTTTGGTACAAAATCCATTTTAAAAGAATCCTTCATTTAACATTATTACAAAATATATGAAAAGAATAAAAAACTGAATCTCACTGAAAGATTTAAGCTACTAAAAATAGTGCAGGGCTTGAAAACAGAAGTGAAATTTTAGTATAGTTTTACCATACGCTGCAAAGTATTTAAGGAACTCTTTATGTTTATGGTACCTGTGAATAACTGTGAAAGTCAGTCAGCACAGTCTCTGAGGGAAAATAAGACTGGCTACACCTCTAGAACATCTGGTTGCATACCAATCAGATGCATTCTGTATAATAAACTTAACTTTCTGTTAAGCGCTGATTGTAAAGTGGACTGATATGAAAACTCTGTAAACAGTGACTTTATGCATTCATGTATTCTTGAAGATGATCAGATAGTCAGGGTAAGCCCCCGCATCACAGAACACCACAAAGATGAATGGATCCTCCAGATTATCCACAGCGCAGTCGAACAGACCAGCCCGGGGGTCGTTAGGGTCCAGAGGGTCCGGCTCCTTCATTCCTCGTCGGCTTCTACAAGGTGTCCCGGTCACAACTCTGGCTCTGTAGACGTACTTCAACCTGTTCTCATCTGGATTTGAGAACCGGTGTTGACAGGAGTACCAGGCTTCCAAGGCAAAGTAGGTGCCGTGTCCATGAGCAACAGCTTAAAAATACATAGAAGGTAGCCTGAGTATAGCTTACAAATAGCTTTATAACTGTAACTGTATTTTGAAAATGTTATTCTGGGATAAAACAATGCCGTATTAGTTAGACTGGGCCATACTGGCACATATATATCTGAGAATCTGCCCCTTATATTTCTGAAAAGTGACTTACCGTTTCTTCCACAGAAGCTCCTGTTAAAGCCATTGTTATTGATTTTCTGGCAGATTTCTCTAGTGGTGCCATGATAGAGAAACTGCTCATTTATCTGGTCGGGGTATTTCTTATCCACCTCCTGCTTCAGCACAGAGTACCTCTGCCACTGGCCTTTATTCTGAATTCTGCGGATCTGAAATCACGTAATAACGTAACACAGCTGATTCATCACGAATGCTTGAGAATCATAACAGCAATTTTGCCTCAAACCAAACCAAAGTGATTGTCATGTCTCCCACCCTCTGGGGAGGCTCTGCTTGGACTCTCCCTGGCTCTGCCCACTCTCCTCCTTTCCCACACACCTGCAGCTCATTCCAAAGACATTAAGGCCCAATCCCATTTTCACCCCTACCCCTTGTTTTCGAGTGTCACGTTGCCACTTGAAACTGAGTTACAGATTGTTGTGGTTGAAATCTTCCCTATGAAATGGGACCCTCAAATAAAAAAAAAAGAACATCACTTCATTAACAGGCTACTAGCGCTGCTCTGTAGGCAACCCTGCCAGTCTGCAGTGATAGCAGAGGAGGGCAAAGTTCAGCCACCTCGCTGCTGGGCTTTAGTTACATTTAGGGAATCATATGCTTTCAAAGAAGGGGGGACAATTATTTATTATCACCCACCCCTAATTCTTCAGTGATATGAAGCTGAAGTCAGCTATTCACCAGCTTCTTGTTCAAAATTTAGCTAGATAGCTACTGAGACATCAGCACACTACTAGTGATTTTCATGCATGTTATGAAGAAAAGGACCAAAATACATTGAAACAACATTAGACTGAGATAAAACAATGATTATCGTAATTTTTTAACAGAGAAAATACTTAGATTTAAGTGTTTCCTTGATCGCTTGTGCAGCCATCTTGCCGGTTTTTCTTTTTTATCATAACACTCCGTTTCGAGAGTGCCTCTGAAAAACCTCTGTTTGGAGGACAATTAAGCCCTAACACTTCGCCCTACTCCTCTATCTCAACAAAAACAGGACACCCTACCCCTAGGCGTGAACACGCAAAAAGGAGGGGTAAGCGCAAAGTGGTAGGGGCAAGGGGTGAAATGGGATTGGGACTAAGACTATACTTATACCCCTTTGTTTTCACTGTGAGTTTGCGAGTCTCTGTGTAACTAACCTGAGTTAATTTGTGATGGAGGGATGACTAATGGGCTTTAATTCTAGAGTTTCAATGTAAATTCAATGGGCCAATATTTAGTCAGTATTTTTAGGCTCTGCCGCTTACAGACGGGTAACAAATCAAAGGGAATGCCAGCACTGGGTGTTAGTAAAGCCACCGCGAGCAGACAGAACAGCGTTAACATGCCTTGGCATAGACTCTACATGTCTTCTACAGAACTGTACTGGAGGGATGGAACACTATTCCCTCAGTTGGTGTTTCGATGATGACGCTGCCTAACACGTCGAAGGCCATGATTTACCGCAGAGTATGATTATGTTCATACCCATCAAACTACTCAGTGATTGTGTGAATGACAGCATTTGGCCCCACATTTTGATTTGGATCACCCCAACAGATGATCTATACATGTTCAAATTATGAATAAACTATATGTTGAAACTCTCAACAGTGTTAGGGGTAGAGTTAGTATTAGTACCAGGGTTAGGTTTAAGTCCAGGATGAGAATTAGATTTAGTTAAATGAAGGTAAATTGAATAGATATTTAGTTGAATACAAGTTAAATGCAAGAATAGCATGTACAGGGGGGCTATCTTCATCCTCCATTGTCAAATATTTCACTATAGGCTAAAGTTGATGAGTCAGAATAACTGTGTTGGTTTGCAGTGACCCTCTCTCTTAGGGGACAACCTGACCCAAACGATACCAGCAAAATGCCGTCCACATAATAACAAAGCCACCAGACCCCTTCACTGTACGGGGCAAGCATTCAGGCCTGTACCGTTCTCTTGGTGTATGTAACACATGGACTCAGTTTATCTTAAA